ATTTTCAGAGCCTCATCCGAATATATGCGAAAATTGATATCTACTTCGCCGTTGGACTCTTGTTGTATAAAGAACGTCGTAAGAAAATATCTCCAAGTAGAAGACCGCATAGGTGAGGTACACACTGCATAACGTGAAACATTCCTAAGAATAGGATTGTTACGACCGCTGCATCCATGGCAGCCTTTCTAGTACGTTCAGCAGTCTCGTTCCGATCGCACCGCTCTGTAACCACCTTATGACATCCTGCACATCGTCTTCATTTTCCGAACTCCTGGTTCCACTTGCTTCAACGAAATTAGAGGTCGACAATGTCGAGGGCTCGCGCTTCCAGTGGAACGGAACAGGACGTCAGTTCTGAGGTCATTTACTGAGGTTTCCCGCACGTACCTTTTACATGTTTTCTATCTCTCCTTCACGAGGCACGTCTTGATGATCAAGCGAAGGAACAGCCCAATGTAGGCGAATTATGGACTCAAAAGATGTGTATTAACCATGAAGAGATAGAAGTGTAAATATTACCTGGTCTTCCTCGTAATATATGGACAACAGACCCCAATTTTATCATTTGTGTCTTCATATACCTTCCTCTGGCTACAACTTTCAAAAACATTAGGTTTTGAGTTTTGGTGACTTAGGCAAAATGGTCGCGTTGTGAACTGTCGACAGCACAATGACGTCTTTCGTTCTATCGTTTGACACCAACGCCGTTATACAGCTCCGACCACGAGTCTTTTATTCACCTTCCAGAGATTCCTTCTTCTGGTTTCTTTCAAATTCTTGTTTTTCCTATAGTTTCCCATAAAATGGTTCCTTCTTTGCAATAGGCCTTCAGTCAAAGTAAAAGTCGTCTCCCAACTATCGGTGTATACCGTTCCTCATTTAGGTAACGGACAAAACCTTCAACACGAAATGGTGTTCCACATCTTCAGATGTGGAAGGATCGCTATTACCCGTATATATCAAAATTTTGTAGGTGTAGCCACCTTTGTTATAAGATTTTTATAACTTTAAAGCATACCTATGCCTCCTTCGTGAGATATGCCCACGAAGGACGTCTTCATCTCCAAGCGGCGCCATGAATTCACCCACACATACGAACTTTCCTTACAAGTTTTCTTTAGAGCTTATTAGTTTTCCTTTGCTATACAGCAGAGTTTCCTCTAGAAGTACGTTAACCTATAAGGCTATATACGTCGTATCTTCTAGTTAGCGAGAGCTATCGGAACTCACTACAAAACCGGAATGTAGGCCAGCCGAACATTGACCCATCGACCAATGTTTTTTTATTTCTCATTCGTCATTATATAGGTCTTAATCATGGTACTGGATAGTTTTATCTAAAGGGATATTTGGATGTACTACAAGCAGCTTGTAAAACACTTCCGTGTGCCAACAACGATGGAATTACCACGTGAACTATATCAAGGAACTAATTATAAAGTAGCAATACTACACCCCTGAATGAATGAAGGAAAAACCCTTTTCAAACAATGTGATGTCCTCAACTCCAATTCTCAGCTCTCCAGATATCGAGAATTTATTGTCGAAAAAATAAACATTGCCGTGTAGAAATCGTGGACGAGTTTGCCGTTTTCAAAGCCTCATGGAATTAGAGGTGATTACGTATGCATTAATAAAAGAGAGGATAAAGCTTTCGACGTTGATCAATCCCTAACGAATCCGGCATGCATATTTCTTTGAGGAGTAGTGAACTAGATTTCCAAACTACAAAAGGTAACGACCTGTTGTTAAAAGTGTTGGCTTGATTTTAGAGGACATCGTTCTTGTGCCGTTTACGTCACGTTGCCAAAATATCCAAACGCCAACTTTTTTCTACATGGCACAGAGCTGGGAAAACTGTTATGAACAACTGGACACGCAGGTTGGGATCTACACGTAAGTCGGCGTCTTCTGCTGAAGGACTGAAGCTTGTCGATAGTGATTGTAGTCTTTCACTATATTTTTCTGCTTAATCGTTGTATACATTGCAAATTCACGGAGAAGGCCAACTATGTGTGAGATGTGGTCTCGAATGGTGACCCATCATGACTGTTCTTCTGACAAGGTGTTCCTCATCTACTGAGTGTTGTTCCGTGCGATCTGCAGTTTCATGCCTTTCGCTTGTGGGAAACCAGTTAAAATATTGTACGATCAAAAAGCCTTGTCCGATGTTCTATCCACTCCTATTTTTCGTGGGAAGGATAGTTAGTGGTAATATTCCAATTGCGATAGATCCTGTTTCTTCTATGTTCTGAATCGGAAGAGATTGGTGTACAAGTCCTCTGCTATCGATTCTGTATCGCAGCGACAAATTATGTCATAGTTCGCCTGCTTTTACCCGAAAGGGAAAGAAGAGAATGCCATACTCTTAAACAACACTTCAATATCTTCTGAAATATCCCTATGTTGCGTTTCTTCTTTTATGCTTTATACAAAACCCTCACTTGCTGATCTCGATGTGAATCCTTCTGCAAATGGCGGAAAATCTATGACTTGATTGCAGACACCTTCTCTTTTTTGGAATCTCTGCAGTATTTCTCGACAACTAAGTAGATCTGCCTTTAGGTTAAGAACAGCTTACTCACCTAGAATTATTGAGGAGTACGTTCTATGCGCCAAAAGCACCTGGAGAAGGCACTGCTAGGAGTGGAGTTGTTCTATACGACTAGTTTCCTTCCACATGGTGATCAAACTTTCTCTGTTCTTTCCATTTCTTTCCTTTTTCTCAATATCGTAAACGGTGTTTAACTAGCGGCTACTTCATTTCTTCTTGCATTTGGTCTTAAGCCCAAGTGTGAGTGGGCCAACAGTGCATACTTTCACCACAGTCCTTCCAGATTTAGACAATCCAGAAAGATGATGAGATCTTAGCAAATTTTCTGTATTCATTCCATTGAACAGTTAACCCGAGCTAATTTTAGCTCGCGACAACACTTCCGTTACTTTTACTGCTTTTTGTAACAAATAACAGTGACTCAATGAACTGAGTGTGAGGACAAGATATACTCATGAGTATATCTGCAATCACTTCAAAGGTTCCTGCTGGGCGTCGAATGACGATCTACATCAGAACTCATCTCCAGAAAGGTCTATGAAGCTGAATACGAAAGCCTAGTAAATGAGAAAATCTATGCCATGGCAGTCTTATAGGCTTCCCGTGGTTATGTTTGCGCCAAAAGTAGTACAGAAAAGGCATAGAACCAAAAGTATGATGTTCTCCACGTGTTTCCCACTAATCTGGTATATGACGGAGAGAAATGGGCTTTGCTGGTGGTACTAGGCACAATCTGGATAATGATAAAATATGATAAAATAACCCATGCATAAGGCGAAATTCGCCGAAACGTCAGCTTAATCGTGAACAAAGAACAATAACACCTCGCGTTTGCTCAAAAAAATACGAACATAACCCATGCATACTTGAGCATTTCTACGCACGTATAGTTGACTTAATATAAAAAGGACAAAAGGACAAAGCTCTCGGCGTTGATCTATCCCCGAGGGATGCACCACAGCACCGTTTGGAGGTGACTGAACACATATCTGGGCTTTACAATGACTCGCAGTGGCCTACTGATATATCGAGCCAGTGCTGCTATCTTCCCAAACAAGTCTGGTCCCAATTCGCCGACCCCGGAGAGATGGGAAGCTAGGTGGGACGTGGGAGCGGGGACAGTTTAACTTCGATAGTAAAATCACCAATGTGTTTTCAATTGTTGAGCTTACAATAGAATGATAAACTTCTATTTCGGCTAACGTTTCGATGTCTTCGTTTTCATCAGAGCCCTCAGACGTCATGTAAACAACCGCCCTCTACAAAAGAACACGGTCGGTTGAGCATGCCTCATCCGTACGGTGTTCCACTGACGAGAAGATTCATCTCGATGCGATTACGAAGCCGCCACATCGAGAGGAACAACTGTGAAGCATCAACTCGGACCATCGGCTCTGATGAAGACCAAGACGTCGAAACGTTAGCCGAATAAAAGTTGTTTATCAACCTCGTGCAAGCTCAACAATTTAAAACATACTTCTAAAGAAGTTCACACCAATAGTCGTCATTTCGGAAAATGGGAGATCAAGTATAGCAAATCACATAAAGGATTTCCAAACTAGTATTTTCGAAAACCAAACTTCTAAGTTGGAACCCCTTCGATTCCTTCGCTGCTAGTACAAAGTGTTCACCAAAATCTTTCAGAATTTGAATTCCTTTAATATAGTTCTTATCCAATTACAAATATAACTCCTTCGAGCAAATTTTGTTCAAATTTCGCACAGCAGATCGGTACATAGATAGACAGTAAAGACAGATCAAGACAAACTTAAAGCTATTAACGAAGAACGTGCTTTTTGTACGATGAGCTTTGTGTAAGATGAGTTCATACAAGAAATGTTGAAGAGAAACGTACTATTGCAAATCCTGATTTCCGAGTGGATGTTGAAACTATAAAGTCCTCATACAGAACATGTGAGATGCTAAGTACGAGTACTGGTTTTTTGAAAACTATGTAAGAATTAGATCTGTGAAAAGTTGGTTGATTACAAATTTCGCTGTGATAATTGAAACAGTGGTAACATAGCCTAAATAAGAAATAATATTTTACTGCCTCCTTGCTGTATGTCATTTCATACTACAGCGACAAGACTTCATAACGAAAGGACAGCCACAACTCATGCGCAGACAAATTATCAGTAGACGTAAGATTTTGGAGTATTTGCTTTCAGTAAGAGCTGAAGAGGTACAAGAGTCAATCACTTGTACACTGATGTGGTATCATGAGCAGCTGGAAATCAGTAGTACTAAAACCCTGGATATTACATAGAAGATGTTTTTCGTAACCTTGTTAGAAATATAAGGTCTAACCTTGCTCACTTTCACCACGCTCCCACCAATACTTAAAACGGGAGAAAACTTGTAATTCTGACGACAAATACACCATACCGAGGACGAAATGCAAGACCAGTTAGTATTGAAATCACAGCTAGTAATAAACAGATCATGGCTTTTTGTTTCTTGGCGATCCTTTTTCTTTCTTCAATATACTTTTCTTTGTATCTTCTTTCTTGCTATCCTTTCCTTCCTTTTTCTCATCTTTTTTCTTGTCGTCTTTCTTCTTATCACCTCCATCTTCCTGCTCATTTTCAGCTTTTTGTAATGCCAACTAAAATTACTTGCTTAAATCAAATTAAATCTCTGGAAAAATTTACTTGTAAAACATGTCCTCCATGGACTTCGCATCCAATTCTAAGCGTAAGTAATCTAAAGACTTACTTTATTCTCAATGAGATTATGTAGAGCAATCACTGATCGCACCAGTGATCCCATATAAACGCACATCAACTGGTCATTTGTTTGAACATTTTGGGCAGTCACATAGTCGGGATGAGTAACATCTGGTAAGAGATTTAAAACCTCCTAAAGAAGTACAAATTGGAGTGATAAAATTAAAAATAGAATGGCATGCACTCGACGGCGCAGAAATGATGGGAGTGTTTCTAGTTTAAATGTCAGAAAATTCAGTAAGAAAGATGAAGAAACATAAAAAAGGGAGATTTACCTGAATGTGATAAATAACAGGATGATTGATGGGAAGACGATTTGCCGCTACATCTTGTAGATACCTAAAAGAACAGACGAGTTTCCTCATCGAAAAGTGTGTGGAAATTCTGGCTGTAAAAGGAGTAAAGGCAACAAAAAAACCATCGACGCACTTCTCAATGTCTAGCAACTGTGAATGTAGGCCACGAAGGCCCATGAGCTGATCTGTAATTCGTTGCGACAAAGTCCCAGCGGTTTGGTCCTTGATATCTCTAGAGATTTACATCATTTTGCTCAGCTGCAAATCAAAAGCACCTCATCGTACCTCAACAAATGTTCTACGCCTACTTCTTCCGCTTCTTCTGCACCGATTTCACTGGCCACATGTTCGAAAGTCTTGATGGGAGGAGTGCCATCCTAAACTTCTACCACCATGAACGTTGACTAGTTTTCAAGTAACATTGCCTGTGAAATTGCTGACAAGAATTAAACCATACGTCGTGAACTTCTTGCACTTCAATATATGCCTCAGTTGGTAGTCCGATATCTTTTGGCTCCGCTTCAATAATTACTAGGACCGGATGTGGCACGAATCGTTTCATCTGTTCATTAATCGCAATATCATTCTGTAAGAAAAGTCAGATTAAATAAGGAAACGAATCAAGCGGAAGAATCAGTGGAAATGAATCCAAAGACGTGGTCAGCTGTCACTACTTCCTCCTACGGAACAAGTTCTCGCTGTTAACGGACGGTGAAAATCAATACCTTATGCAGCTTTGGTCCGGTGTGATACCAACCTACAATCTTCTCCTTAGCAGCCACTTTGTGGAACATTATATACATGCTCTCCAAGTAGTCCATATCAAGGAACCACGTACTTTTGTCCTTTTCATCCTCATCGAATGGCACTACAACATTCGTGTTAAAAGTGTGAAAATACTATTTCTGTAAAGAGAGTGTGTTTGATAGGACCGCACTGATGTAAATCAAAGCCAAACTGCAGCAATGAAAGAACACTGATTCTGGAAATAAAACAGTCGTCTAACACATCCAGAATTGATTAGAAGAATTTCTTAACTGTGGTTGAAGTGAAATTTGGAAACGAAGACCTAGCACTCTTAAAGCTACCTGCAAAACTGTTTCCGATGTCTAGTGTTCTGTCTTTCTTCATGGAACCGAGTAGAACGCCAACAACTCGTTTGACACTTTGCGTTTTGCTGACGCGGTTAAAATGGTCCACTACACTTAGTAGAACAAGAGGATGTACTGTCACCTAAAAAGAAGAACACTGCAACCGTTTTACTCGCTGTTATGGGAAAGCTACAGGAGCATCTATAAGGCTAACATGAGGGTTCAAGAAGTCTTAAAACTGCACTGATAAACGTTAACAAGGGCAAGGACGTTAAGGGAAGACTGAAGTCTAATAAGGGAGTCGTAACGATGAGTCAGAGAAAGTAGAAGTCAATTCAGTGAATTTTGACGACATATTCATAGATATCGTACTTACTTTATGGACCGGTAAGTTGTTGTGCGTTGAGCTTATGCAATGGGACAGATTCTTCTGTTTCATTAGATCCAACGACTGCTGTTTTTCTACCTTGACCTCGTCCTTATGTGGAGTCATTCTGAAACACCAACTCTGCAACTAAAATTACAAAGACAGAAGAGAGATAAAACATTATCCATTCCTAGTCAACCACGAAACTGAAGGAAGGGTAGGCGACTACACAGCACGAAAATCATCATTAACCACTGCTAAGGCGTGAAGTAAAGGACATGTTCTGCAGTATCCCGTAAATCGGTACACAATTTGAACTTCCCGGACCGATATACCGGTTCGCCTGTGGGTGCAACTGGGCATCGCGTGGATGTTCGTTTTTCTTAGTGTTAGCCCTTAACAAATAAATCTCCTTCGTGATAAGCTCCTTGTTCTGTTTGGTAGTGGTGTTGCTTTCTGTTTTCATAACTTCATGAAATGGTTTCGGAGTGTTTTCAGTGAATGAACGTGACCGATTCCCACTGTCTTCAAGACGTGGACGTCGTCGAACATGACGATCTCGTTGAGGTATGTTACAGAGCTGTCCGGTTAATGAACTACGATTTATTGATGCTTCATGAACTAAATGACTTTCAACTGCTGGGGTTGGTACCTTTGCAGTACCTACCTTAATTGCTTTAGCATGCTTCAGGTACATACTTCGTAGCTCCTCTAACTTAGTAGTACTTAGTAGCTCATACATAGCTTCGTTCATTTTGTTCTTTGCATTTGTGCAAAAAAAGGAACCTGTGACCAGAAACCCTGCTACTTGATAGCTCTATGAATTTCATCCTTTGTTTTAATCTTCTTGAGCACAACGAATCTCCTTCATCTGAGTGCTTTCAAGTGGTTTAGCCGTGTCGCTAAGTTGTACGGCGCAGCTGCTTTATAATGGTCTAAGTGTAGTCCAAAAGCTTTAAAGACGGCATCGTTCTCTGTGCCCCGTATGATTGGTTTTTATCCTCTATTTATTCGTACGCATATATACGTGTTTTCGTTCTTTTCTGTATAGAATATACACTATGCACCTTGATTTAACAGGGCCGTGCTCTTTTATTGTGAAATAGACAGGAAAGAATTTGGATCACCTTAGAAAAAAACCCCATTTCCATTTCAGGAGAGCCCTTTAGGCTATATATCTAGCCATAAGTGCGATTCAATACAGCGCACCTTTGATAAGATCTTTTGGCTGTCAACTTATCAGAAATGGTGTGGGTTAGGGTTCGTTGTGAAACAGTGATATTCACTTCTTTCGGAGGACACTATACTGTTATAGCACTTTGTACTGAGGTGCAGCGATTTCATTGGTGCCCGTTGTTCAGTGGAGTTTCAGGCGTTAAAAGTAATGCTTTTCTGTCTTCTTGAAGAACAAGGTCTATGAATAAAGACACCTTTCTAATGTAACACTTTTAATGGTGAGGATAGCATTTGGCCATCATCAATATCATCTAGAAAGGCATATCCATATTACTTTGTACAGATGCAAATACCCCTGGTTCATGCTTACGATTCAGTTTGTCCCCTTCTTCCAGAAACAGCATGGCCTCTTTTGTTTTATGCTTTTGGCTTTCCCCTTCCGGTTTCTAATGCTTTCTTCCGGCTTTTTGTCTAATGTTTTTCTTCTCCTTATACATCTTGGTGTATTTCTGCAACATATCCAACTGTAGTGTGATGGGGAAAATCTGTCCATCATCGAACTGCACTACCGTCAGTCTTCAAAACTGGTTTTAACGCAAGAAAGGTATATTCCCTTGTTCTTTATACCCGGTAATTCAGTGAAAATTATTAATCGTTATAGGTATTGTAAATGAAATAGCTACTAGTTACTGATCAAGAATTGAGTTCTATAAACTTACGTTGGAGACGGACGAACAAAGCTTTGTTTAGTCATTAAAAGTGAGTAATCACCCGTCAGCAGAGGCTCTGAATTGTATCGGAGAATGAGGACAAAGATGACGATGAGATAGTCGGTGATAATGGTACAAACAACGTTTGAGGCAGTGTGGTATCTCGTGATCCTTAGATTTCCAATGGTAGTCAGGTTGGTGTGAACCATCTGCTACTTCTTGAATGCGGTGAGCAAACAAATTTTTATGAATTGTTTATGGATGATATCGGCGAATTTCTTCTAATGCGGATCAAAAAAATTTGGACTACGGGAGATGGGTCATGGGTAGGCGACAAATGTCGAAGTGGTGGGAAGATTCATTAGTGCTTGTCGTTTGGTGGAAGTTTTTAAAGTGCTACTGATGAGGCATCACTGCTACACTATTTTTGAGTTCGATTCCGTTTGGATCCAAAAAAAGGTAACGGTAGGGAGCATATTTGAAAGGCTGGTTGCTAACTTCCATTTCGCAGACGATACTTAGTGAACGAGGTGAATTCTTCAATAGAAATTGCGAGACTCCAGACTTCAAAGCTTGCGGAATCATAATGCTTTAATTGTGTTTGAATTGTGCGCAAGGAGGGTACACTGAAAAAGTTGTGTGTTGCGATCGTTATAAATACTTGGATACTTGAATACTTGGGCGGCCCATCTTCACCGGTACTGCGGGCCGCACCATAATCTTCATTTTTCGGAGTTTTTTTTGGTTTAGCCATTGTGTTTCCCTGGAGTTCCGAGGTCAGCCTAGCCAAAGTCTGCTCTAGGTTTTCACCACCACAGGCAGTCGTAACCCTTATGGATCAGGGGGAGATTTACCACTATGCGACTTTGATAGCAGGACGGTGGTGGATCCTTGTATTGGTTTACTTTTACCTAGGTTTCGTGATGGAAACGGCGGACTCCTTCTCATCTTGGAAGACCCTGCTGTGGGAATGAATCCCACGCTGTACGTCGCAGTCTGACACCTAAGAACACCTCCTACCCACGATGATGCAGTAAACCGTTGGGAGAGGATCTTCGTAAACTGTAGAAAATGAAGTGGGAAATTTGCAGGTTGTAATATTATTGTACTTGAGTGCAACGTTTACAGTGTCACTAAAAGGTTATAACCAGAAGTTGAGATTATCTAATACTTGCAAGAGCACACTTTTCGCAAACACTTGGTTTGGTGCTTCGTCGTTGTGTGGACGCCTAGTACTGCGTATTACAAATTCGTCTACACAATTTCCTTCAGTCACCATATTATGATGTCGATATTCGATGCCCATCACCGAATTCAAATTAAACGAGTGAACTTGACGGAGAAACGGGTTTTTTAGTTTTTTTCTGATTTGTAAACTATTAAATCTAGGAATTGACACGCACAACGTCTGGGGCAATATTTTTAGTGAATAAACGGTCACTATTACGAGAAGTTACAAAGATCTGTTGATGACTAAATCAGCCAGTATTAAGAATATGCAAATTGAAATAAATGCTTATGAGTATGTGTCTTAACTAATTAACTTGTTGTGTTCATTACCATGGCTCATTTTTGTTACCAGCTATTCCAATGCGAATAAAGATCACCACGTATCGAAGGTTCATTCTTGGTGTGCAGATTATCTTCGGAAGACTACATAGCTTTAGTCGCAGAACCAAGAATATTTCTTAGTTGTGATAGTCTCGCCCTGTCCATTTCAATTTCCACCCAACGAAGATGTCGCATTTATTTTAATTGCTGCAGGTTCTTTCCCCATGCCAACGTGCCGTCTCTTCTGGTGAACAGTCACTTGATGGGAGCATTGATGAGGAAAGAGGAGCCCTATCAGATTCGGACGTCAATTGTGTTGCGAGAACTCATGTATGATGTCATCTTAATATTATTTGGTAATTCCTTGGTGCAGGTTTCATGCGAACTATTACAGAATTTCGAATTACAGACGTTAGCATCACAAGTGAAGGGTCCATCATCTGACGCCTTGGAAGAGTCTTGTCGGATGGAAGCTGTAGCGAGGGAGAAGGGTTCCGAATGGGAGGATTTGCTCGGAAGCGGTCAACTAATGAAACGAGTTATCAGGGAGGGACACGGTGGGGAACGACCAACTGATGGACAGTGGGTCACAATCAAGGTGTGACTAACTAATTAAAATTGTTTACGTGCAACACTGTTTGCATGAGCTTTTCTACATTAGGCGTATTTTTAAGTCAAGGTCATTAAGGTTAATGATACACATAGATATGTTAGTTAATCTTTTGAGGTTGTGGACACTTTACGGGGAATTGATTCACATGACAGACTAACGTTCATTCTTGGATTCAGCATGGTGATTGATGGTTAGTGTAATTTTCAACAATTTCCAAGCCTAATATGATACTACTTTGTATTGTTGAGTGACATTTAGCGTGGGAGTTGACGACCAAGCTTATGTGTGTGCAAGAGGTAGCTGAGATCCGTGTGAAAGCACGCCTAGCATATGGTGAATGCGGTCTCGACGATATAATCCGTCCAAATCAAGATCAAGAATATCGAGTAGGGTTTTTGTTGATAAACTAATCAAAACCAGGTGCATTGCGAATCGTTATTCTAAATGTCTTCAAATTTTCTTCTGACGAATATGAACTATGTGAGGATTTATTTACGAAACTTTGCAGATTGAACTACTTGAAATCGGTTCCTCTCCAAAATACACAACTATGGAGGAAGGAGAACTTTCAGATTTTGTTCTCATGCTTAAAGATCGAGGCAACTTTTATTTCAACAGAAGAGAATACGAGAAGGCAATATTTGTTTATAAAAGGTATGTTTCCACAATGTTGAAATTGAGCTATTATATATTATCAAAAGTATACTACTTGGATACTTGGACGGCCCGTCCTCACTAGTTGTACGAGCTCCCGCATATTCTCCATTTTTCGGAGTTTTGCTAGTTTAGCCGTTGTGCTTCCCTGGAGTCCCGAGGTTATCCAGACCAAAGTCTGCTCCAGGTCGTCACCCCCGCAAGCTGTCGCCACCCCTATGGATCAGTGGGTGATTTGCCACCATGCAGCTACTCCAGACTCCTTCCCAGCCTTCGAGACCCTTCCGGGAGAGTGAATCACCCGCTGTACGTCGCAGCCCAACACCCAGGAACCCCTTCCAGCCACGATGAGGCGGTAAACCGTTGGAAGGAGTATATAGGTATAGTAAGCGGATCGATTTGCTACTTATATAGGTACCACTTAAGCAATTTTTTAGTCATATAAGATTGAGTTATTTTCTCTTCTGTCCATACATAGAGTTTAGTCGTGCATGAACATCAAGTTTTCTCTGCTAATGTAAAGCAATTCGCGATATTCAAATCCTTTCTCCGTCTGCTTTTTCAAAAGTTTCATATTCAGAGCTTCGGGTATAATCGAGGTTCCTAAGGATAGTGAAGCGTTATCAAAATTATTTTCTGCTCTCCATTCCAATCTTGCTGTTTGCTATGCGAAGGTTTGTAAACAGTTTTCAAAACAATCTTAACCTTTTTGTTTAACGTTTTGTTTTCTGCCTTCTATAATTTTCATGGCAGGTTACTAATCGAAATACAACCACAACGTTGCTGAGATATTTGCAAAACTCTGGACCGCAGGTGTCTGCGGTGAGAAACGAACGCGCTATTATCCTTTCCGGGGAGTAACGCGTTCAAAAAAAAAGATCGATAGAAATAGCTGAGAGACATGCGAAACAAAGGACCCGCATGGTGTGGTGGTGAACGCGTTACTCCCCGGAGGAAAGGATAATAGCGCGTTCGTTCCCCACCATAGACACCTGCGGTCCAGAGTTTTGCAAATATCTCAGCAACGTTGTGGTTGTATTTCGATTAGTAACCTGCCATGAAAATTATAGAAGGCAGAAAACAAAACGTTAAACATTGTGATTTCAACTACAGCCATAGCTTAACTGGGTTCTATGCCGATTTGCGCTCCCCAGATCAACCCCGCTGACGGGTGATTGCTGTGGCAAAAAGATCGATAGAAATAGTTGAGAGACGTGCGAAACAAAGGACCCGCATGGTGTGGTGGTGAACGCGTTACTCCCCGGAAAGGATAATAGCGCGTTCGTTCCCCACCATAGACACCTGCGGTCCAGAGTTTTGCTTAACCTTTTTATTTACTGCCTACTTTAATTTTTCGCGGTAAGGTATCATGTGGAATACTACTAAGATGATGCTGAAATATTTGCAAAACTCCGGACCGCAGGTGTCTGCGGTGAGAAACGAACGCGCTATTACCCTTTCCGGAGGCTAACGCGTTCACAACCACACCATGCAAGTCCTTCGTTTCGGCTTTCTATCAGCTAACTCTATCGATCAGTACCATCAGCAATCACCCGTTAACGAGATTAATCTGAGGAGCCTAAATGGACGTGTGGTCCGGAGTTTTGCAAATATCTCAGCATTATCTTAGTTTTCAAAACAGTTTGAAATCCAACTACTGTTCCCCGAATAATTTGCTCCTGCAACAAAATTTGACATTTAGTTGGAGGATTGGAATGAAGTACTCAAATGCACTGAAGAATCATTGCGTTTGCACGCTGCAAATACGAAAGCGTTATTCCGAAGGGCAGCAGCGCTTGTGGCTCGCAACGATACCGAGGAAGCAATGAGCTGTCTACTACAGGCCCGGGAGATCGATCCTCATGATACGGTAGCTACATTTTTCTAACTGTTCCTTCGGTGCGAACCAGTGATTGTTCAAAGTCATCCTCGTTTAAACGAAGTCTAGTTTTTTCTCTTACAAGGAGGCATCGACTAAATTCTGTTTAGAGATGGTGAACATTGGCAGCAATATATAAGCCGTTTTTTTTCAATTTGGAATATTCATCTTGCTGTAGTTCATCTCTGTGGAATAGAGATTTGTGACGTACAGGCTTTACCGTTGTACTGTGTAAATGTTTTCCGCCCACCTATGGTGTCATTGATGCTGTTATCCATCTTCTCTGACTAAATTTTCAGCATTACTTTATATCTTAGCTTGAACTATCTGAAAGTGCCCTACTTTCATTAAGGTCGTGCAGTGCGAGATAGAAAGATTGGGTGGCATTCGGAGACGTCGTCGAGCGGAGGAGAGAGCACTGTACCGAAAGATGCTGATTGGTGCTGGCGACCTTAACGCCCCAAGTCGTAGCTTTGACTTTGTCACATATCGCCTTATCGCAATTGGAGCTTTTTCGTTGGTCACCTTTGCCTTGTTTGTTTTCTTCCTTTATCAGCTGTGGAGTTTACCAAGTGATCAGGAGCTCTGACGAGCGTCTATTAAGAGCTAATTTCAATACCGGTAATGCACATTCGTCGTTAAGAAGAATTTGTCCCTTTATAATGTAATGTCTCGTCGCATTCCTATCATATTTTCTGTAGTTGTATAATCAATGTATTCATCACTAGTCTATGAGCGTTCTGATTAATTCTGCAAAAAGCAGTTATTGCGTTGAACGTGAATTCCTGTAGCTATTTCCTTATAGTATTCTATTAGTATCACCATTGTTTTCCATATGCGTGATCCTTTTGACGTACTCCGTCTTAGAGTTTTAATCCCCTCATGTACAGACGAACTAGCGCATCTCGTTTGAATTCACTTTGTACTGCTTCCGGTCCTAAATTTCTCTTCCAGCCAGCTTCACCGAACGTTCAACTGATCCGTGAAGTCACCGTTAGCTTATACGTTCGCTCAATCTTCTACTTAGGGAATGGTTTCAATTTCAGACCTAAATATTCAGACCATACTTCATATTATGGGCTTCTATGAACAGTCGAGTAATAGTAGTGAGTGTCAAAGAGTTTAGCAACAAAATAAATATATTGTAAAGTATGCGTTTCGTGGTACTCTTTAAAAACTTGCTTACGAAGGCCCATCCGTCACTAACACATAACGGACGGCGCTGAACAATAGTACGCAATGCCTCGAGTAACCGGGTATGAGCTCATTTAGGTGGTTCTTTCTCTGTTGTTTGTCTTGGGGCACATAACCCTTTTCCTATAATTCTTGTGATCGATCGATAACTCATTCAACAAATTTTGAGGAGAACGCTGGGTGGAGAAAGAACTATGTTCTCTACGCAGAGATATACAAAGAACCTCATTTCGAACGAGTTCGTTGACCTGTAATTTTACAGGTATTTAGGTGTTGTTTCAATCATAGGCTCTATGATGAATCACGGGAATGCTTATGGCGCAGTGGTAGGAGGCGCCATGCAATACACACGTAAACCTGATCTAGCGCCCGTAGGTCACTAAGCCCTCCATCCCTCCGGCTTTGGTGCCAGACTTGTCTGGGAGGATAGCAACACTGGCTGGATACATCGGTAGGCCACCGTGAGTCATTGTAAAGGCCAGATATGCATTCAATCGCTTCCAACGGTGCTTAATGAAGTCGAATGCGTGATGCATCCTTCAGGGATAGATCAACGCCGGGTGCCTTGGCTTTTAATAGCTTTTGTAATGAATCATAGTCGTTGTATGAAATATGTGAGTATGGAAAATACCCAATAGACACGACATAAGTTGCAAAGCACTTCAAAATCCTGACAACAATGTCGTTGTCTGATTGGCCATAGTAACATGTAGTAAATAACAGCATACACAGTATTCATACCCATAGCTCGATACAGCAATCTCTTCTACAGTCTTGTCTCTCCCAATTCTTTAGTTTTCAAGAACTGCTGTTTCTTCTTTATATTCTTGTTGAGCAAACGCGATGTGTTATTTTATTCTTTATTCACTAAAGAGCTGACGTTTTGGCGGATTTCGTCTTCCTCAGAGTCCGGAAAGGTCAGGTTGACGGCAATTTACCCGGCTAAACACCTCCATAACCAAACAGAGAACATGCTAAACTAAGATTCCAATTGCACTGAAAACAAAATAGCTTCTTCGCAAATCCACCGCTTTCTGTGGGTCTCCAATGAGTGTTTCACGTGGAGACCAACCACACAGAGTTCACACGGGTGAGTAGTGTGCCTCGCTCACATCAAAATATCAGCCTTGGGTACTGCGTGAGATCACGCGTGGACTACGAGGCATTCCTCCTTGCGGTTCATTTTGGTTTATCGGAATCTATGAGGAATGTCTGGAGAGTTTTGCGCGCTTGTGTTCTTAATTCCTGTGCGAGGAACGTGACCTGTACTTCAAAGTCCTCCCCGTTATGTCTCTGGGTCCTGTGCGTGCCTAGTTGGGTGTTTGGTTTACATTTGCCGACTAGGTGCTCTTTTATGCGGACACAGAGGGGTCTGCCCGTTTCCCCAATGTATTCGTCACCGCACGTCTTACAGGAGATCAGATAAACTATACCCAAGCTCATGCAATCACCGTCTCTACCACAAGGGCAAATTATGCAATTTTGCGTTGCACATAGACGGTCATATAGGCGGTTACGAACTAGCTGGCGCCTAAGATTATTCGGTGTCATTTCAACCACGTTTGCCGAATTCTCTAGACCCGCCCTTCTTAAGCAACGTTTTATAGCTGCACTTGCACCATTTGAGATGAAGGGTAGGATAAACGGGACCTTTTTATCGTTAGAGTTGTCGTTCGAGCGCATAGGCTTTCCCCTACACCTATCCCGAGCTACAATTTCGTAGCTATTCGAAATGGTTATTTGCCGCGCCAAGTTCCGGGACTCCTCTCTCTGCTTTTTTACCGTGCATACACTTGCTGTTCGAAACATGTATCTTAGAAGCGCCATTTTTTGTGTCTGAAGGATTAGAGGAGAGGTAATGAACATATTTTTGCTACTTGGCTTTCGGTACCATTTCGCAATGTAGCCGCTTTCTGATGGGTTGATTTACACGTTCAGAAATGGAAGCCAGTTTTCCTTCGGTTTCTCTTGGGTGAACTTAATATACTCTGACTTTTCATTCAGTAACTCAAAACATTTGTCCATTTCCTCTTGTGTTGAGCAAATGACAAAGCAGTCATCTATATATCTGCAGTAGAGCAACGGCGCGAAGTCGATTAATGGTTATTAGGGTTAAAAACCATGTTATCCTGTCCGTTGGCCCGTCTACGCAGCTAACGATAGGTCTAATCTTAAATAGTGATGGATCGTTAGACGCAAGATCATCGCTGAATACTAACTTATGAGTTTTTATAAGTACAAGACGGGGCATGTTGGTAAATCAACTTTAAGTTGAGAGATAACTGATGGTTTTAAACCAGCAGCCCTTGCCATTTTGGCCCATTCGTGGTTTAGTTTTCGGTATTTACTTTTGAATTCCTCCTCAGATGATGGGCGATAAAGCGAAGCATCTTCAAGATGCTTTTTCGTTATCTCAACTTCTAACTGATGAGAAATTACGACAAACTCTCCATCCTTATCACTAACGCATAGTCTTTATTTTTCAACCTTATCAGCTCTCGTACCTCTCGCATACCACGTTTTTGCACTTCAGTGAGGTTGGAGCTGTATCTTTTCGCACGATAGTGATTAAGGACTTTGAGAGTTTCATTCGCAAACATCCGAAATTTAACATCAACTTTATTATTGAGCTCTTGTTGTCTAAAGAACGGCTGGGGAAATGGTGCTATTGGTAATGACCAAGTTCTCCGCCTAGGAGAGCTTCTTATCCCAATTGCTGGGATTGCAGATGCCTTTCTTGAACAAAACCAATCGTACGTATTTCTCTTCAAAACAGTTAAGCAACACTCTACTCACTTACAGAACGATCTGTATCGGTGTACACCATAATTCTGTATTTGCATTTGACTATCGGTTATGGGGCAGACTTTGGCCAGGCTGTCCTCGGGATTCCAGGGCACCACAATGGCTTAACTAGCAATTCTCCGAAAAATGGTGATTATGGTGGGGGCCGCACAACTAGTGAAGACGGGCTGTTCAAGTATCAAGTAAGTATCGGTTATCTAGGACTCAGCTTTTTACATTGTCCTCGAGTTGGTTGACCAATCGTAGGATTCGCAACCATCACAGGAATGATTGTCTTCTTGGAAGAATGCGAATAGTCAGTGAGCACACTTCTTTCCGATTCCTAGAGGCCAACAGTGCCGTGAGAATTCCGTAGTTTAGCTATCGGGATCTCCCGTGGAAATCACCTCGACTAGCACCTAGCCTGTTGATGAAAAAACCACGGAACTTGAAGCTGGAGCAGAAGCCACATACTGATGTTTCTTTTCAAAAATTAATTTCGGTTTTCTTTTATAACCTTGCTTTGGTGTAATGCCTTACATCTTTGTATTTACGCCGAATTCGAAGCGCAGATTTTGCGCTAATATGTCTAACCCAAGTGTCAAAAGAATGGTGAAGACATCATCATTATGAAGTCATTTCTCTAGTATTTCTGCACAGAATAGATAACTTCATTTCCTCATCGTGTTGTTTGTGACTTGTGAAATGGATTCTGTGATTGCTTTCCTCTGTAAGGACGTTCTGTGATGTGGTCAGACAATAACGCAGGCAGAATCACCACCACTTCTGGCTAAATCTGGGGTAAATACTGGGTAAATCTTTCACAGCAGAAAAGAGTTCTCATGTAATTGACAAGGTACACCATGAACTGCAACATTTGCCATCGGTCCACGATCATGATCAATCCAGTGACAGCAGTTGTACTACAAGACCAAAGCGTTTGTTGCATAAAAAACGCAAAAGTGAAAGGAATGGGAATATGGAACTCTATCTTATCCAGCATACCCCCAGCTGATCTCTCCAAACACGACGATAATCCTTTGTTTAAATAACTTCTAACGACCACTTCCTCTGCCAGTTTTTTTGAGATCTTTCACAGAGGTATAAAATTTCATATTGGAAATAAATCTGTTCTCTGTAGTCAAAATGTAAAGACACTACTTTTTATTCCGTTCAACACAACAACGACGTCCAATTTTGGATCTTAGCGGGTTGGGAAAACCACTAATTTTCGATTCCTTGCGAGACGAATTGAATTGAGTTGCGAATTTGTGTCCTATGGTGACTTCAGAGCTTTAAGGGACTATGTATATTCTTTCAATGAATACGTGTGAAAGTAATTGCAGCTTCACACCTCAACACTTATGAGAGGACGTGACCTCTGCATTAGCCGTAGGTGAGGGCACTGTGGGCCGGTATGACTCCTATGGAGGTCATTTTCTTTGCAGTGGTTTATTTTGCCGTATCGACTCTTTTCCCATGCTTGTTGTAAGCAGACGACAGCTTGTGAAACATAAATGTCGCAGCGGGCATCGTCCACGGAAAGCTATTCACTGCAATAAATACTTTTGAAAATCGATCTTCAGACAGGTTCGCTGTTTCGTCAGAGGCTGTTGGTGACGAGAGAGGAGATGATCTTTGAATCTTCCACCAATGTCACTGTGATGTGTTTCCCAGAATCTTATTTCGGTGTGCACGACTGAGGTTTTTATGGATTTTTCCCTGACTTATATTTGGTAGCTGATTGCAACAAGTCTTTTAGGGATATAGTCACTATTCGCCATTACATTCGATAGAGTATAGGTACAAGTGCTTGCCTAATTTGCTCAAATTGCGCATGAGAGGTGGCCAGGTTTGCAGGATTTCGATGTCTACAGCTGGAAATTTGGGGCACAGTGTGGTGTTGAAGCTGACGTCGTGACCGGATGAAATGAACTACTCTACATCGATAGCTGGTACATGAGCCTTTCCTTGGCTGAGAACACTCCAGAGAGGATCCATCGCATAGTTATGAGAAGAACAGGAAGATATGCCGTAAACAAGTCACCCTCTGAAAGTTGAAAGGAGGACAACTGATAGGCGAACAAAACCGGAGCTATACCAGGTACCGCCGTTCAGGTATCAAACTAGTCGTAAAGTTGCAAATCTCCCTCTGATCCACAACTACCAGCGTCTGCATGTGGTGGCGACGAACAGAGCAAAGCTCCAGCTAAGCTGAACTAGGGACTCTAAAGAACCACAAATGGCTCAACCAGCAATAAACAGAGTTCTGTACCTCAAACACACAGCTTTCCCGTCAGCTGCAAAACGTCAATGGAATCAAATCGAACGAAGACACCTACGACACACCATGAAGGCTACTTCTTGCTCTTCACCTATAACACCAGAATAGTTTTCAGACGCTGACTTTGTGTGGACCTTGAGGCCGCTAGTTTCATCGAATTCCTTATAATCGTCCCACAAAAGAAAAGTAAAAAGACCAATATACGTTAATTAGATGACGGAGCCCTTGTCATTCGTACACTGGAGTCTTCATTGCGAAACATCGGTGTTAGCTTTGTTGTCCCTCAATCTATTTTCCATCTAGTGACCTCATAAGAAATCCTCCCACCGTGGTTGGCCACATTTTTCATTTCCAATTTCCGCGTCAAAAGAAAGTATCATCAACTGCTACTCACCAACTTGTATAGCTACTGAGAGCAAACTGGACGAATTTTAGAATCACTTTGAGGAAGTAATCGGCAACGAAAAGTCCTATAAATTTATTGTTGGAGCTTTCAACACAAGATCAGGAACAGCCAACGAAAATGAATACAGGATAGGGATATTCGGGATAGAGCGAAGCATGGGAACCGTACTGTAGGACTCCTGCCCGTAGCACGTCTATTCCATGGGAATTCATCTTTGGTGAAGGGAGAAAATTATCGATGGACATGGGAATCGCATTGAGAAGACCCATGCCTAGATCGATCGCAATCTCATGAACAAAAAATGGTGTCTCTCCGACACTTCAGTGGCGCCTGGATTTTGTACCGGATCCGACCATCGCCCTCTCCGTATGAAGGTTCGATTCAACCATAAGCCGGAAAAGATTCCCGGCCATCGCCCAAAAAAAGAAATAAGTTTTGTGTGATGAGGATTCTCAATAGTAACTCCCAAGTCCGACTTTCTATTAACCTATTTTAAAGATTCTCAATAGTATTTTCTTCATTTGACTGACAGATACAAGAAGAATCCACTGAGCACCACAAGCTGCTTGTCGAAGGAAGTGAAACTTCTGCGAATTTGCCTTGGTTCTTCGAAAAAAAATGCTCAAACCGCATCTCCACTACAACTAAAGAGTTGATCGGGAAGCGAAAGAAGCTGAATCATCATCCAACTGCAACGCACCACGACTGGTAATAAATACCAACCGTAGCAGATCTTTGCAGAGGGAATTACATCAGTATAGGCAAAAGTTGAAAGCAGCTCAAAAACAATCTACTCTGAAATAGTGCCGTTGGGATCTGTACGACTATATAATGTTCCGCTAACTGCCCTGATGAACGAAGATGGGACTGTCATTATACCCCGCCATGACATGAAACTGATAATGGAAAAGTCCTATACTAATCTTTATCGTTCTACAACCCTTGTCGGACTCCGAAATCCCCGCTGGTGGAAAATCACTCGAGATTGGACCCTCTGAAGTTCAAGATGCGATAGAAAGCATGAAGGGAGGCACAGTTCCATGACTCGATAATATGACCGCCGACTTCACTCCATCTGGAGACCATGAATTACATGTGCTGCTCGCAACCCACATGATCCTAGAGTCAGGAGAAAATCCCAGACAAGTGGAGAACGTGGCGCACGATAGAGCTACCCAAGAAGGATGATCCGGGCTATTTTGGTAACCGCTCACCGTCAAATATGCCTGTTGAGTATGCTCTACAAGCTGTCCACGAGGATTATCCTGTCGCGTACTTCAAGAACATTAGATGAGGCGCAACCAGTCGAGCGAGTACGATTTCAACAAGGATTCCGCTGCATGGACCACATCCAAACCATGTCGCAGATCGTAGAAGTCCGTCCGAAGTATCACATGCATCTTATCCAAACCTTTATCGACTACAAAAAAGCGTTTGACACTGTTGAAACAATGCAAACCTATCAGCGCTCATCGACAAAGAATGCACCCATCCTATATACGAAAATAGCTGACTTATTGGAATTACAATACCAATATACAGCTTTTTCGTCGAACTTCACTGTACCGTAGAAATAGGGATTCGACAAGGTGACACAGTACCGCCAAAGCTGTTTATTGCGGCACTGCAGTGGATACTAAAATCACATGATTGGGACCAGAGAGGCAGCCCCACTGATGAAAAAATCCTATCAAACGTTCGTTTCGCGGACGATATCGTCATCTTTTCGCGGAGTACCCAGTGAAGCAAAGATGATACTCAATGAACTGAACGAAGCGGGAAAAATATTTGAATATGTGTAAATAGGACGACGGCCTAATTCATGGCGCTAGAACGAAGAAATGAACTGGATGGTTCTCTGAGTAGACAGACTATCTCGTACGTCTACCTTGAACGTACAAGGAACATGGATAACAACATAATGGAGAAATTAAACACAAGGAAAGCAGCATGCGTCTCATTCGGGCCCTTCGAAGAAGCCGCTAACCAAAACACCGTGCCCACCTTTTCGATTCGGTTCTCCTAGCGCTCGGTTATGGAGCAGAAACGTTGGCTGATACTTCAACCACTTCAAGAATGCTGCGTGCCATCCATAAAGCGCTTGAACGATGGCTTCTGTCATATAACGCACTCATAACATCTAACGGGGACGCGCAGCTCAGATGTCCAAAACTTATCCTATCTTTGGGATCCAGAGTACCTGCATCGATAGCGAAACACATATGGGCCCGTCACATAATAAGGAGAACAGATGACAGATGGATGAAAAGAACAGCGAAGTGGATTCCAAAAGAATGTAAGCGTCCTATTGGAAGACCACACAAACGGTGGGCGAACGTGCTAAATCCCAGTGACGAGTGCATGTCCTGTAAATACCTTTGCACCCCGAAGAAGACTCCTCAGTGATCTATTGTCTTATCGCAGCGAAAAGCCGTCTCCAAGAGCCGAATTCCTGCGTTTAAGCGGATGCACCTCTCTGCCTTTTCACTGGCAAATTCTGATGGTGCGTGCATAGTATTCTCAAAAGCAAAAGTCTCTCACCTCAAAACGATCTCGTCGAAGATTTTTGTCAATTAGTAAGTGTACAGGATAGTTTTCCATAATAAAGCCCTGATATTTACATGTATTTTGGAAAAGGTATCCACGGAATACAAAAGTTGGAAGAACAAAAGTATCTGTGAGCCGTCGAACAGGTGTGCACCCTTCCCAGCACACATGATCAAGTACTTGTTAATGAAATTTAGTGTAAGATATGATAGGTCAGCATCAAAAACCGAAACTGTTTCCCGCAAAAACTCTGGAATTTAGCATCCGGTGGCCTAACTTCACCTCATCATACAAACACTAAGCAGTTCACGCTTATGCTGATGTATTAATCCCATTAATGGATTGGTATTGAGACCTGGAAAATTTTCCAACCTTCTGTGAAGATTGAGTATTTCACGGTGTTTCAGATCCTAAATACGAAGTCGCCGGCAACGTCAGCCAAAGTGAGAGATATTGCATAATGTATGATAATCAATCATACATAGGACCATTCAGAGATCACGTTTGAATGAAATACATGAAATCGGAGCAACAATATTGTTCGATCGATTTTTCCTGACTAATAATTTGAAAAACAACACTGGACACCAATTAAATAGAAATTGGGAGTCCGAGTCACATGTAAGAACTTTGCTACTGTTTACATAATCTCCAGCATTGTTTTGATATCGACGCTAACATTGCGGAAGCATTTATTAGATCTTAAAAAAGATAGGTAATGAATATCAACAGATAAAAGATTTCATTCGTATTGGCAATTTGTCTCGGCAATACTCCACTCTCCAATGATTGTTTCCTACGAAGAATATAAAAAATCAACGAGATTTATTGATACTGACGATATAAATGCTACTGTACCTGTTTTCCTAGGATTACTCCATCATCGGCATCAACCACTCCCAACTCAAAATCATTATCAGCGCAACAATCATGATAAAGGGTGAGCTCCAGTGCCTTGCGCATGATGGACTCGGCTTCCGCTCGTGTCAATTTATCACCCTGAATTAGGAAAATCTTCTCAAACGGTATTTTGTCTTAGCGACAATATAGAACAAAACGAGTTGAAGAGATCTGCTCCATAGGAATTCTAAACAACACGAAAAAGCAACTATTAACACCCTACTTTCACCTTTTTTCTTCCCTCGTCCTCAACAACCTGATTGAGGAGCATGGCTGCAATTCCTGTCGCAACGTGCTTTGTCTGATATGCAACCCCCTCAAAATTTAATTAATCATGAAGACAACAAAAGAAGTAATGTCGTAGTTATTCAAATGTACACTGAATCAAATGTAAAATAACACCTTCTGTGTAATTACACCAACAAAGGGAGTAGTGGTATCCTTGTTATTCTTCTCCTCATCTTCTACACCAGCTACAACCAAAGTATTCCAAAGAGGATTCATGCGTGTTCGGCTAAAATACATTTGCAAGAAAGAGCTGTCTTAAACGCCAAAGTTAAACGCTTACCGAGCGTACATTAAACTTGTTAAATATCCATGAAGAGCTTTAGGTGAAAGATCTTGGCCGATCATTTTCCATTCAAGGACCTATAATAAATAACCTACACCTCCTAATGTGGAGTAGACAGATGAGGTACATCCACAAAGCAAAGCGTGCTCACCTGTCTTTCAATAACGTTCTGTAGCCACTGAAAATCAGCATGGTCTCCACCAAATGCGATTATTATGTTGTTGTTTACCTTATATTGACGAGAGACGTTCTAAAGTGCATGGTTTGAAACAATTCAATAGATGAATGTAGAGAGAAAAGTTTAAAAAAAAACCGCCCTTTTCACACTTCACCAAGCAACAATACAAGGTAAACCACAAAAACATTTTACCTTGTACCTAGCAGTTTTTCCGTACGAAACCACACGATCGGTCATTACGACAACACCTTTATTGTATTGGATTGCAATTACAGAGGTACCAGTACATGTCGGATTGCTAAAACATCCATCCATATATAATTCGACATTTGAAGGACTATGAAATAGAAATAAACTCACAGAGTCCTCTGCATGACAGTAGATATTTCAAGGAAGGCCTGTAGACGATGGATAAAACAATTAATGCAAAAAGAACGACAGCAAAATAGCACGCACTCAGGCGACATTACTGAATGCGAGGTATGCGCCTGATAAACATATCATTCAAGGAGTCTAAAATAAATTAAAACTTCATTCATGCAACGAGCAACAAAGAACAAAGTGTACCTGTACAGCAAATGTCAACAATCACAGCTTTAAACCAACGGGTATAAACATATTTCTATATTAAACAAGAGTAGTTTTACATCAAATAACATACATAAAGCTATCAGCAACAGTTCAGTACAGAGGGTGGTGATTTCACAGAGAGTATACTTGTCATATGTGTTAAACTGTTGAGCTTACGTGAGGTTGATGAATTAGTTTTATTTGGCTAACATCGTCGGCGACGTCTTCGTCTTCATCAGAGGAGAACATATATCAACCTCGTGTAACCTCAACAATTCAACACACAGTTAATTTCCTACCGAGGTTAAACGGTTTTTTTTAAACGGTCGGTTAGTAAAAAAAAACCAACAGGTTTTAAAATACCTGTCACACTTTCTCAACAGTGCTTTAATAATCACTCATTATTTCGAGATGTTGTACTAACAGCAGAAGATAACAAGTGTTTAAATTCTAGCAAACATAGAAATAATAACAATCAACATAAAATAATGAAGTCACTCGACTGGGACGAGAACGGTATACGTATTGATGGAAAATCCCCATCAAACTTTTGTCTAGCCGGCGACATCGTCATTTTCTCAAGAAGTACCAACAAAGCAGAGACGATGATCAATGAACCCAACGAAGCGCCAAAAACGATCGGACTACGCATAAATTGAAAGAAGACCTAGTTCATGAAAAATCCATGGTGTGAAACGAACAAACTGAACCCTATGGCGCTCTGATTGCAGAGACCACCTCGTACGTATACTTTCGGCGATCAATAAGCATGGAAAACAACATGGAGGATAAATTAGACAGAAAAGGGAGGGCAGTTTGGGACGCTATTGGGCATTCATCTCAAAAAAGCCACCAACCAACTGACAAAGGATAAAGGATAAAGCTCTTGGCGTTGATCAATCCCTGAGGAATGCGCCATGCATTCGACTTCATTAAATATCGTTGGAGGTGATTCAATGCATATCTGGCCTTTACAATGACGCGCGGTGGCCAACCGATGTATCCAGCCAGCGCTGCTATTCTCCGAGACAAGGCTGGTATCAATTTTCCGACCCCGGAAGGAAGAAAGGCTTGGCGGGCTATGGGTGCGAAGATCGATCCCACGTGTGTGTTGCAGGCGCCTCCGACCACTACGCCACATGCGCCCTCCGGCCAACTGAAGGACCTAAAAATTCGCGTTAACCTTTCCGATTCAACGGTCCTCCCAGCGCTCTTTTATGTTGCGGAGACGTAGGCTGGTACTTCAACCACGTCTGGAATACTGCACACTACTCAAAGAGCGCTTGAACGATGCCTTCTGAAATATGACCGACACTCTCAATTTCTAGCTGGAATGCGAAGTGTCACATCTTCGAGATGCAGTAGAATGAACAACGATAGCGGAAGAGATGGGCCGGTCATACAATGTGAAGAACGAACGACAGATGGACGAAAAGAACTGTAGAGTGGACTCCACGAGAATGCAAGCGTCTCCAAGGACGGTTACCTACACGTTAGGCAGATGTATTCGTAACCAAAGCTAGTCGGCCGTACTCGTAGCAGCTGTGGCTGTTTTATAGGTCACGGTACCAGACTTCCACGCACCACTATACTCGAGTAAAATCACCAGCATGGACGATGAATGCGAGGGAAAGAAACGAATGGCAAATGCGCTGAGGTCAGCACAATTTATGAAGACGGACCGTCCCAATATCCAAGCAACTAAGCATAAAAATATAAAACCGAACCAAGTTCTAAATGAATGAATTGGAGCGCACATAAGAAAGTAAAACGTCCGTGAACATAGCGTTTTCCCTTTATTTGAAAGTCTTACCCGCTTCTATTCGGAAAAGCTTACCATCAAAGTAAGCACTATTCAAAAGAATACATGTGCTCTCGCTCCATACCCATAAATTCAAAAAATGATTCCAACTCCGAGCTAAAGATATTGGGTAAAAGAAAATTACAAAAATTGAAAACGTAAAGTGTGGTAAAAAAAAAAAAGATACTCATTTTAAGTAAAAACAGTATATGTCCGTGGAAGGTTAAAAAAATTCAGATCTCCTTGAACAGATCAGCCACGTCATTTGTCTGAGAATTCTCGGTCGGAAGGAATGAAAACCGGAAACGATGGGCTGTAATATGTCCTTTACTCCGCAGAAATACCCAACAATGTTATACGTCCATTGAAACAAAGATCAAAAAAGAAATTTGATATCACCAACCTTTACAATCCCATCCTTTCTGTTTACAGGTCCAACGACAACACTTTTTGCAGAACAAATGCGCACAGCCCTGGCTTGCTGGCTGACTGCACCGTGAACAAGGCGGAAATATAGCCTTTAAAAATGACTTGTCAACCATTGTCGTATATATCATGTAAATTCGACTTGCCCTTTTTGATATTGTTGTCCTCTGTCCGTTCAGCTTTCGCCTTTCCCTCTTTCTTGCTTGCCTTCATTGTGAAAGTGAGGTATGAGTGAGCAAAAACAAAGAAAAATAATAGCGTACTTCAAAGAAAGACCCAGTTCATCGGCAATTTTCTGGAGGTGCTCCTTCCGTTTTTCCTTATAATTCATTTCCCCTTCTGCTGCTAATGCCTCCCTAACAACCTAAAAATTTTTTGGTTACGCGAAAATACAAAACAGTATGATAAAGGTGAAGTGAAAGAAAAACCTCTGACAAACGGAAGCATGGCTTACAAATCCAGTGTGGCGTCTTTGAAAGAGCAATAGGATCCACTTGTTTCTCTCCAGATCTTCAAACGTGGAAGAGAAAAATTTTGGCTAAGAAGCATTTTTTAAACCACCACAAAAAAATGCACACCGAATGCGTTCAAATAGATCTCTCGCGAGCTCCATTTGCTCACGTGCTTCTTCAGTATCTGCCGCCAGACGAGTTCGAATACGTATCTCCTCTACGATCGACTCATAGTCCTCTAGACGATGTTCGGTGGAAACACGAAGTCGAAGATCAGAATATTCCAACAAGCTAAATTTCAAAAGGATACTAAATAAATGAACAAACCAAAACCTCATCGAAGAGCAAAATAGCAAGAGTAAAAGTCTAACAAACCTATGATGACAGATCCTAAAAATATGTGCCCGTATAGAACTCGTACCCGCTTGGTATTTACGCGCAAACGCGAGGTATTCCTTAGCAACTAACCAACTTTCCTCATTCTTATTCTGAAAATCAATAAAACTAAAATAAGCGTTGACGTATTCACAGTAAAAAATACAATATTATACGAATTATGCCGATTTTTGAACTTACCAAGCGATCAAAAATATTAAAGGATAAAGGACAAAGCTCTCTGAGCTTATCAGTCCTTGATGGTATGCGTCAAGCATTCGACTTCATTAAGTATTGTTGCAGGTGATTGGATGCATGTTTGATCGTTACGATGACTCGCGGTGGCCTACCCATATACTGAGCCAGTATTGCTGTTCTCCCAGATAGGTCTAGTAACAGTTTGCCGATACCGGAGGATGGAAGATTTAATGAGCCTTCGGCGCGGGGATCTATCCCATGTGTGTTGCAAAGCGCCTCCGACCACTACGCTATACGCGCCCATATCAAAAATGTTGAACAAGATAAAGCACTCTAAGAAAAACTTTAATTCTTTACTAATTCAGCACAGACAGATGCACCACTACAACCGTTCTCAACTATGAAAATGAAAAGACGTCAGTAACTAATTCATCTGTAACTTTGCGTAATTTAACATATTCACGACGATTATATCGGTGAGTCCTTCGACGTGACCACGCTGTACACCAATGTATCGAATGAGTCCACAATGCAAGCCATCTTTGAACTTCTTGCTCAACAGGAAGGAAGAATAAATATGCACGGCTTGTCCATCTAGGAGCTAATGTCTCTCTTAAAGAAGTGCCTAAACTACTCGGTTTTCAGATGGTCTGGGAAATATTTCGCGCAAATAAGTGGGTTGGCAATGGGACAGCGACTGGCACCAAGCCTTGCCATTGTGTTTATGTCTAAGATAGAAGCCTCTGTTCTCGATCTCCGGCCACTATTCTACTGCAGATATGTAGATGATTGTTTTTTCGTCTTCTCTACGCAGGAGGAGATGGAAAAATGCTTTGTATTATTGAACGAGCAGTCAGAGTACATTAAGTTCACACGGGAGAAAGCGAGAAAAAACTGGCTTCCGTTTCTAAACGATCAAATAAACCTATCAAGTAGCGGTTGCTTTACAAAGTGGTACCGAAAACCAAGTAACAAGAACATCCTCGTTCATTTCCTTTCTTCCCATCCTTCACACACAGAGGGCGCTTGTGAAAAGCATGTTTCGAACAGTCGGCTCTGTGTGCACAACCAGGGAACTAAAGGAAGAATCGCGCAACTTGGCTCAACAAACAGCCATCTCCAATGGCTACGAAGTAGTAACCCCACGAGATAAGTTTAGAAGGAGAGCAACGCACCTAAGCGAAACAAATTACCGAAAAAAACCCCGTTTATGTTGCCTTTTATAAGCGATGAAGTAAGTGGAACTATTAAACGATGCTTAAGAAGGGTAGGTCTAGACGAATCGGTAGCGATAGCTGAAATACCACCGGCTACTCTACGTCGTCAGTTAGTTCGTAACCGCCTGTATGGCCGTTTATGTGAAACGACAAATTGCGTAATTTGCCCTTATGGTAGGAACGGTGATTGCATGAGTTCAGGTACGATATACCTGATCTCTTGTAATAATTGCGGAAATGAATATATTGACGAAACGGGCAGACCTTTGTGTATCCGTATAAAAGAACACCTAGATGGCAAACGAAAACTAAGACAAAGTACTCCACTAAGCACCCATAGGATGCAAAAGCATAGCGGAGACGGTTTTGAAGTAAAAGTCAATATCCTTACACAGGAGACCAAAACACTAGCGCGAAAACTTGAGGCTTTTTGGATAAATGCCAAAAACCCTGCAATGAGTAGCAGGGAGGAATCCCCATAGGTCACACGCGACCTGGCCCCGTATGCTCGCATCAATTTCTGATGTGGAATGGTGCAGTCATCAACCATGTGCAACTATAATCAGCTGTTCTAATCTTCCCCACTGGAAGCCACGTAAAAAGCGGTGAGTTTTTCGAGAAGCTATTGATCATGTAATTACCACAGAGTTCTTCGTTTTTTTGTGTGTTATTGAAACGTTTGGCCTAGTAAATTGTATATCAGTATACCCATCCACGCTCTGAAGGCGATACTGCCGAAACGTCAGCTACTGTTGTGTTGCATGGAAGTAAAAGTATGTTGTTTAACAACCTTGCGAAAGCTCAACAAGAAAACGACGCATTCATACATCGGTAACTATTAAATCCAACGTTCCCCACCACTTCTTCAGCTCTACGAACCTCTCTATGATACAAATGGTATCGCTTTCCTTTAAGAGATTGATCAGTCGTCGTACCAAAAAAGCTATTCTCTACATATCGAAATTTACAAAACGCAGATATAAACAGAAGTTCGCTTGCCTTTTGCTTTCATGAGTTTTGTGTTTACTGCTCACCCTTCGCATAGATCGCAAGACGAGACGATGAAGAAGGTTATGGACGAAGAAGGTGCTGAGATGTTCTCGACCTACTAGGTTGTTTGGAAAATAATGCAGAATTTGTGGCTTTTTTGAAGCGTTTTAGCAATAATTTTTGAAATACTATACTACCAGATATCAACTCGAAGCTTATTCTACGCATTTTTCCTCGGTACAATTGAACTGTAATATACACTCTACTTTTGGCAAATTTTGCAGGTTAAAAAAGTCAGGCTGAGAAATGCAAATAGCTATTTTGACAAATACAGTTACACATTAATTTAACTATTATCAATAAATATTGCTTCAAATTAGGTCGCAGAATAGCGCAAAAGGCTGAACGGAAACACTGAACATTAATCAGGAGTGTGAACAAGAAAGGAAATATTTACGAGGTATGGAGCCAAGGAAGTGTTAGCGAATTTAGAGTGTGATGCTGGTTTCAAAACATCAACCGCCGCAAATTCGATGTTGAAGAGTAAAGTTGAGCAGACCCTTCTTCTATCGACAACAATGAGTTTAAGGCTTTGATGGAAGCAAATAAACGCAAAACTGTTCGACAACTTGGAGAAGGTGAACCTCAACTATGTCGGAGCTTTCAAAAAAAACCCTTGAAAGTCTACAAAGTTCCATAGATAGACGCCTTACGAATTTAAGTATAATTTTAAGAAACCGCCATCTTGAAGCACCGTCGGAGATCGGCTCAGTGGTTTAGCAGCAGTCAGGCTTTGCAACAATTCTTAAACCCGAAATGAAACCGAAATATGTTCATATTGACCGTTTCGTTGTGCACCGCTGGTATGATCCATCACAGTTTCCTCTCGGAGGAAACTACTACAGAGGAAAAATCCGTCTGGTAAAGCGACAAAGAATACCACCAGAAACTTCAACGACTCTCTCCAGTACTGGTCAACAGAGGACGACTGACCTTTCAGCACGACAACGAGCAGCCACATGCGTCGCTTTTGGCGCTGCAGAAGCCTATCTGAGCTAAGCAACTTCGCCTCATCCACCATGCTTCCTAAACCTTTCGCATACCAACTACTAATTCTTCAAGCTCAATCTCGACAACTTCCCGTGCAAGAAATGCTCCAGAAACTAGGCCGTGGCAGAAATTGACTACAACCACTTCTTGCAGAGCTCTAGTATTTAATTCAACCGAAACAAATAAACTTATTCCGCGTTAGCAAAAGTATGTGTGCTTATCTAGATTGGTTCTTATCTCGGCTAACATAATTCTGAGATCATATGTCATTCTAAGGGTAAAGATGAAAATCTTGCACTAATTTCCGAATAACCTTTTACACATCTAAATCCACAGTTACAATATGTGCGCGTTTCATCAATGTGTTTTCGCAGTGTCTTGGAAACAGTACAGGTTACATGAAACCCAAGCTTTACATATCGTTCACACTTTTACCATTAACACCTCTTTATATGCGCTACTTCCATATGAAAATTTCCATATTTTGCGTCCAAGAGTAGAACACTCTAAACAGAAAAATCTGCGCTTCATTGGTGGATCACATGTCAATCACAATGAGCTGAGGGAATCCACACAAATACCAATTTGAATGAACTCAATTCGCAAATCAATTAGTGGTATCTGGATGCCTTTCTCCAAGCAACATACCATCAGCTAGACCTCCAGTTCACTGGACGTTTCTATCGACAAAACATATGTGTACCCGCTTCCACTTTATAACTATATATGGAGAATGTGTACCTTGCTCTATTCAGCACAAAAAACTCACTATAACATTCGATTTTTGCCTGGACTGTATATGTTTCAAAAAATTCGATAAGCGGAGAGATCGTGCACAAGTCACCCATCATAAAGATTACATTGTCTGCCAAATACAAGTGGTCGAGAGCTTTCACCTAAAAATAGAGAGCGACGGCTTTTTCCATTACCTGCTGTCATCTTCCAGGACTGAATCATCCCCAGCCATTATGTTGTTCGCTTCGCAACCACTTCCCAAATGTTAGTCATATCATGAACAATTCAAAAAAAAATCCACCGACAATGTGCGTGACCAATTGATCCACTACAGTCAAATGGGCTCACGTAACGATCTTGTTTAGCAACTCACTATTAACATTCACCATCATTACCTTGACCTTCATCTTCCGTCTAACTTTCTAAAGACTCTAAGACGAGGATCAAAATTAACTTCTAGTCGCTTTAAGATTCTTCTTACTAAATAACGAAGATGAGTCGGTCGGAAATGAAGTCAAGCACGTCTTCTGTTGACGCGCTTCAAGTCCATAAAATTCAGTTCGTGACCAGTAGCGTACGAATGGTTCTCATCCTCACGTTGTTTCCACGACGAGTAACAACTAATGTACAGAGTAGGAAGACATTAAAAAAAACCCTAGAAGAATACTGAAATATACTCAAAGTGTGCTTTGACTTAAAAACACTGACAATTTCGCGAAAGAACAGCACATAAGTTTTCCCAACAAGAAACAAACGAAAGAAGAACGCCTCTCCTCCTAGGACTCCTAGAAGACGGAAGATTGTATTCAAGAAAGGAAATGGCAAGAAAAAATTTTAAAAACCAGAATCTACTGAACAAATGCAAAAAAAAACTGAGACGTGTGGAGAAAAGCACAAGAAGAAATCGCACTCAATTTTTTTAAAAAAAATCTTCAAGTGAAGGCAGTCACTTCAGTTCACACCAGACACGGACAGAAATTCGGCATCATCTTAGGTTACCGATGTGTTAAACGATACAACAACATAATATTTCATAAGAAGTATAAAACATACCATAAATAATAACGGATTATGTAGTATTCCTTCTGCAGACATCACTGCTGCTGCCTTTGTTTCAGCAATACACCTTTCTACGTCACCAGGCATCTAAATCTCAATTTCCTTACTCTATCAAATACTAGTAAAGAAATCTTAAAAGAAACTGGGATATTCGCAAAGCTCTGGACGGCAGGTGTCTGGCGCGCTATTACGCTTTTCGGGGGTAACGTGCTAACCACCACACCATGCTGGTTCACCTGCCTCTAAGCTATCTTTCTATCTACCAATGTCATCACCCTGCTGAAACCCCTGGTAAAAAAAACCCCTGAAAAAAGTAATACCAATTTGCGAGAACTGCAAAGTGTTTGTGGTCAGAACTTGAGGACGCTCCTGTAAGGCTTTCAAAGAATTCAAAGGAATGTTTCGCCCAGCCAACAATATACTACCACAGTAGGAATTGTGATGGAAGTTCCACAATTGTTTGGGAATAGAGGACATGGAAACGTTAAGAATGAAGTAAAGTCTACACTGTTGTATAATAACTGGCGCAAAAACTACACATAATCTATACCTGAATGTTCCCATTAGCTACAACGGGAACGTCCACAGCCTCAACTACGTCTCTAATACGTGACCAGTCGGCTAGACCAGTGTCAGCACCTTTCATTTCACGAGTACGACCATGAACCGTTAACCTTAATAGATAAGTCCATAAATAGTACACAGGACTAGATGCGCGGTAAGTACATTGTTGCGCCTGCATCAACTAGTCTGCGTGCATAATCGACAGTTTGCTTGCGACAGTCACGAATGCGGATTTTGCATGAAACTGGCAAGAGGCAAAAATCCCTCACAGCTGATACCATAGAACACACTAAGTCCACTTCATCCTGCAAAACATTAGTTATGGCACACTGCTGGCATCCTAATTTAACAAAAAAAAAAATTGGTTGGCGATCAGGCCTTGCAGAGTGAAATAATGAAATAACACTTAATACATAAATAGTCATAAAACTAGATAGCAATTATAGTTAAAAATGGACAGCAATTTCACAAATGTCCTTCTGGACCTACGAAACTGATGAATATGCAGAAATACAAATGCTGAGATCACGACAAAATCGAGTTTAAAACTTGGCATTCTTCACTAGTTCGTGTCGATTTCGAAAACAATAACGAGTTAAATTTTGACAAAACAATTTCAAATCTAAAGGAGGACAACTACGCCGAGATACAGACGAAACGAAGGACCTGAACGGTGTGGTGGTGAACGCGTTACCCTAGAAAGTGTAATAGCGTGTTCGATCCTCACCACAAACACTTGCAGTCTGGAGTTTCGCAAATATCTCAGCGCGATTGAGGTTATATTTCACATAAGACCATGCCGTGAAAAAAACATAGTAGGCAGCAAGTAGAAAGCTAGTATTAAAGCAGGATTTACGTAAATACCTGAAGGTATGCACCGTACCGCCCCTTTTTAGCCACCATTTGCGGACAACCGAGATTAAGATCGACTCCATCGCATACGCCTTCAACCAAACGACAGGCCGTGAGAAATGTATCGGGTTTATTTGCGCAAAACTGAGACAATTTAAACGTCAACAGGATAAAGTGTGTCTCGAAAACGAAAACATACCTGAATAATGAGTGGACGATCTGCCTTACATAATGTCAATGAGTTAGTACGGTAAGTATGGTCATAAACAAACAAATGAGCATGGATCATTGGCGTCATCGTGATGTGGGCACCGTGCGCACGCATAAGCATTCGAAAAGCCAGTTCACTACAACGCGATAAAATTTTTGAAATCCCTAGAAATCAGAGGGCGTTCATGTCTGAAAAATGAAAACAAAAAAAGAACATACCTCTGGTCAACCATAGGAGCCACGACCTTCACACTCTTCCTCCCATCTATATAATTTCGCCAGAAAGAACGTTTTGCGGCGATCTAAACTTATTAATTATATGTCTGAACAGCGAATTATCAACCATTAAATGCTGAAAGTATCTGAACTAAAGATACAACAACCTGATCTGCACTATTCCGAGTAGGCGGGTCAAGAGTTTGTTTCTTTGGGATGTGAAAAATCTCGAACAATCCACGTTCTTCAGCCTCATCTACAGATTTCTCGACGACCAACTGCTCAATGTTCTTTTGAATCATCCCTTAGATATAAAGAATGCAGTGCTGAATAAATCGGCTTCCTCGGGTAGTTAACGTTCGGAGACCAACTCTTCTACAACAAACGAACAAACTGGAAACGATTTAATAAGTTAATGTCTAAGAAGTGCCAGTTCAACGATATCAAAAGTACAAAATTTAGACATATTCAACTTCATCTATAGTATAACAACGACAGGAATTCACCAAAACCTTCGAAAGGCATCAAACAAAGTAGGGTTATATCACTACACAAATCTAAAATAAGCTAAGCATGTAAATTATACATGTATATACACAACGTATATACATACATGTATATATATAGATGTATATATGCACGCATGTACATATGTGCATGCACATAGGTCAAGTGTACGTATGTAACTGTATACAGTGTATTAAAGTAAAAAAAAGAATGAAAACACAGTTTTCTACAACAATGAAATGGATAAATGACCACATTGATAGAAATACGAATACTGTAAACATACACCCGATCGAGTTATTCAGAAGTAGTTACTGGAAGTAGTTACTGCACCTACACCAATAACCGTCTCAACCCCAGTTGCCTCGACCACGACCCCTCTGATAATTTCCGCCTTGAAATGGTTCACATCCACCGTGGAAGCCACCTCGTCCACGATTATGCGGAGAGCCTCGAGGTCCACCAAAACCACGCATGCCTCGGAAATCGTTTGGAACTCTAAGACATACAAATTGGGATGCGTAACACTACATACGATTTCTAGATTGTTTACAAAGAGAGCGTAGAAGACCTACGGTTTTCTCCACTGATCGCCTCTTCCTCCTCCACGCCCATAAAAGTCTCCACCACGAGGTTTACCACGAAAATTTTGTGGGTAACTACCAGTGCTTTGAAAATAAGGAGGCTTTTGATAGAACCCATCATTTCCACTATCCCCATAATAATTCTTATCACAGTTATGTTGCTCTGAAAAAGAAAGATATCCTAAATTGCAAATTTTACCTTCGAATCTAACCCAAAAGAACAAATATGATCACTACAGTAACCTTGTTTATGATAATCTATATGCGATGGACCCTCTTCGACATAAACAGGAGCTTGAAGCCTGTTCTGTTGCAGCGGATACGTTGGAATTTGACCGGAAGGAGCACTGTGCGTTGGTACTGATACTGGTGGCACCCGTTCATCAACGTCTCCGAATCCTTGTTGTACAACAGGTGGTTGAAAATTTGCCTATGATCAAAACATGTCACGTATATATATGTATATTCTATGCACACAGAATAACGACGCATGTCACTAACCGGCTGTGAATTCTGAGAGTTTCCTGCTCCTGCTGCTGCTGCAGCTGCGGCGGCAGCAGCAGCAGCAGCAGCTGTTGCCTGCTGAATTGTTTGGAGACTAGGAATAGATTTTAATAGCGCCTGAAATAAAGAATCATTATTCCATAACACACTCCAAAAATGCAACAGCACCTGAATGTTCGGTGGTGGTTGAGTGGTAATTGGAGGAGGCAGTGTCATATTTGATTGTTGGGCAATATTTGAATTGAAATTGGGAGGTTGACTAGTGCTAGGAGGAGGGATTGTCATATTTGCCTGTGGAATGAATGACGTTTGAGAAACTCCATAAGCCGTTTGACCTTGGAATGAAGGTGCAGCGGAGTTAGCCAGAAGTTGAGAAACTATAACGCAGCACAGTTTGAAAAGAAAACAAACAAAAAATCACAATCTAATCCAGAAATAAACCACTTTTAGAGAATATTAGAGCATACCGTTGCTTCCACTGGAGTTCAAATGCGACATTGGCAACGTTTGTTGAGGAACAGCACCTCCTGCAAATCCTGGAGCACGACTTTCTAACACTGCAGGTGGCGCAGGTGGAGGCGGAAGATTACCCGATAAAGGAGATGTTCCTCCCACATCGATAGGGGCGGAGTCATCATCAAGGTCCATGTCAGTAGTCTCCGTATTATCCCTACTGCCAGGTACACGAAACGCTGAAATGTTGAGCCATTTCGCAAAAAAAAAGAGCTTGTCAATATTTCAGGACCAATAAAAAAGAACAGAAAATGTAGATCATGACTTTATACTGACTTAAATGGCTAGGAGGTTTTCCGAGGTGTCGGACTGCGAAGTACGGCGGAGAAATTCATCCCCCCAGTTGGGTCTCACGAGCTGAGGAGTCCGGTATTTCCATTAGGAAGCCCAACTAAGAGTAAACCAATGCCAACACCAGGATCTACCACCGCCCTGGTATCAAATCGCATGGTGGAAAATCTCCCTCCGATCCACAACGGCTGGTGCTGCCTGTGGTGGTGACGACCTGAGGCACACCTTGGCTAGGCTGACCTCAGGACTCCGGGGAAACACAATTGTTAAACCAGCAAAACTCCGATAATGACTATTACACAACTATTATTAAATAATAACGCCAACAACTAATTAAACCAGTGACATTTTGCAAGACACACTTTGCAAGGCGTTTTCGACACCAGTAGCGTATATGTCATCATTGGCCGTTGGTGAGGGAGCATCTCGAGGGGGAGTCGCTGCAGGATAGACACCCGACTTCTCCATTTCCTGAATCATCGACTTTTAAAATGAAGTTCAACCGTGTTAAGTCGAAAAATCACTCTAATGTCGAAAAAATATAACAGCCATATATTTGAGGAAAAATATTTGAAAAACAAAAAGCCACTGCTTTGAGAAAACAGGACTCACTAACAAGTCGGTGTGAACCTCACGAATTCCTTGGAAATACTTTTGATATGCCTGAAATTAAAAGGTTACGAAAAATCCCTTTCCATAAAATATTATCTCGATATCCACGTCCTATCTAGTGTGCTTAAACTACTGAGGATCTCTCCATAGCACAATGTCGGAAAAAATTCAGATGTGCTCACCATTTTCAAATGAATGAACTGATTACTAGATCGTGAGTATTTACTCTAATCCGGGATTGATAAAACTTTGAAGAAACAACAGCTCGACAACTTGAAGAACGGTTATTGGAACATTAGCACCAAACGATCACAAAGCCAGGATCAAAACGGGACTCTATACTGCGGGATCATATGTTCTAACACTTCCGCAACGATACGTATTGACTTCAGTGAACATTGCATTGAAATTTTGGCCGCTGTCCATTTTAAACCAACATCTCAACTCATGCTAAATCTTCCAACTAAAATAAATGCCATTAGAGTCATAGATCAGACGAAGATCCTCGTCTACAAGGTATACGCACTTTTCTTCATCAAAATTTAAATTCTAACATTTTGTAGTTCACAAACCTTATTTCTCTTTGATTTTTTTTATTCCGACCCATATTATGGACACAAAAGCAAGCGAAAAGAATTCCGTTCGGACATGATTATATTCCTCAATGCATCGTTGTTCATTGCGGTGGCTGCTGGGGTTGTACAGAAAAATTCAAAATTCCAAATTTACTTCCAATTTTGTTCATTTTTAACACCAAAGACATTCGAAATTAAGCGAAAACTCTTCGGAAATCATATACACCCTTAATACGATAGAACAACATTTCCTCCTAGCTTGTTAAGCTCAGCGTTTCTGAAATGTTGTACCTGCCAAACAAATATCGAGAGACTACCACCGTCGAGAAAGATTGAAATATGAAGAGTGGCATAATTTTCTTTCATAAACGAGATTTTATATTCTTTACATAAATCCTTACGTCTTCAACAACAGTGACATCTTTCAGCTGGTGAGAGAAGTTCCGCTTTGCGAGCTCAAGAGTCTCAATGAGTTGCAACATTCTTCGTTTCTGTTCCTCCATTGAATGTCGAAACGATGAAATCTGACTGAGCACCTAAATTCAAACTTCAGCAGTGGTCAACAATATTAGTTATCCCCTACAGAAATTATGGATGATTTTAATTCAAGCAATGCATTACTGTAAAAGTAGGATTTCGAAAGGCACTGCTCTTTAAGGACGAAATCAAAATGATAGCGATATCAAACATAAGGTTATTCCCTTGATGAACAAGGAATATTGTCGTGGTACCTGTTGAGTTTCCATAACAAGTTGCGCAGCCACGGTACGATCTGAAAAACAGCTAGGAAGAAATAAGTTGTACTTATAAAAACCAAACAAACAATAAATTAAGTGGTGCAGAGATCATCACCTCTCATCCTCTCTTTCATGAGGGCTTTACAGTCAAAATCCCCGTTTCGAATAACCTCCATTCCACGATTCACTATTAATCGCCCCTATAAATAAGTAGAAAAGGTGCTAAGTCTACATCAAAGATGCTACCAACAATTTCAAATGGGCTTACGCGCTCAAAAAGCTCAATCTTCTTGTAAACCTCTTCAGAGTCAAGTTCAGCGAAGCTTTCATCACCATCACCATTCTCTTCGGATTCTGCAAAATACGACGTAATGTGATATTTAGATGGGACTTTTCAAACTTCAGAAATCTTACGCAGCATGTTCTTCATTACATTGACGCTGGCTTCCGTGAACACTTGTCGCTCGCCGAAGATATCAATGCATCGATTCATCACTTGCTTAACACATGGAGAGCTCCTTAAAACTAGTAAACTCGAAAATACGCCATGAAGATGACAGAAATCATACATACACCATAAACATAACAACTCCCTACTTTCCCATTGTGACCGCACTAAGGACAGCTGGTTGGAAAGCCGGAATCAGAACATCCATGTGCTTGTTCTTTGCTCGTTGAACAACGTCATTCATTATATAGAATAAAGCAATGCGCTGTTCATCTTTTTTAGCTGTAAAAAAAACAATCAAAACCGGAAATAGGAGGCAAAGCAGATAACAAAAGCTAAAAGGATAAAGCTCTCGGCGTTCAATCCCTGAGAAAAACGCCATGCATTCGACTTCATTAAGCATCTTTGAAGGTGATTGAATGCACATGTGGCCTCTACGATGATTCGCGGTGACCCACCGATGTATCGAGCCAGTGCTGCTATCCTTCTAAACAAGACTGCTACCAATTTGCCGACCCAGATGGATAGAGAGCTTAGGGAGCCACCGGCTCAGTGATCGATCCCATCTGTGTGTTGCAGGGCGCCTCCCACTACTGTGCCACTCGCGCCGCTTGAGCACATAACAGTAGGAGTTCCTCAGAGAAGAAAAAGTGGTGCTAAACATTTAGGCAGTGGAAAATCGTTCTGTCCAACTGCTTCAAATAACATGAAACCTTGATAAAGTGGACTAATCAGTAACTTAGCTATGCCATATGGGACTGGATCAGATATACCAATTCTTTGTGAGAATTTCATCACTAGTGCTTAAATGATTACGAAAAGAGGAAGCTTTATCAAGCAACTTCCAAAATTGCTGGCAGGGAACTGATTTAAAACGTGGGGTGACCTTAAAAGCACAACAGGACGCATACGATAGAAAAAATTGTACAGGACTAGTAAGAAAGAAAAAAAAAGATAAAGTGCTCGTTATAAATCCATCTCATATATATATATATATATATATATTATATACATTAAGCATTCAACTCCACTAAACTTCGCACAGCGGACTGAACCCATATTTAGCTCATTGTATACAAGTCTAACACCGATTCGCCAAGATGGTGAACACAGCCCTGAACGCCGGTTTGAACGCATGGCCAGTTGCGTCACAAGGCAGCCTCTAGCCACCGTGCTACACAACCAGTAAAGTCAGTTTTACAAAAAAATGAACTGAGCAACCAAATTAGGAATATCCTAAGCGTTGCTCAATTCTATCCATTTCCAACGAATGTACTTGAATGGCAACTTTCTAGTGAATGGTCATCCGAAGATGAGAACAAATTTCAAGAAAAGATGTTAGGTTGAACAGAGAAACTAGTTCTCAATAATTCTGGTGTTGCTCGAAGTGGTCCTCACTTGCTGTAATCTTCCGATCGGCACTGCTTTCGGTACACATGAAGCAGAAAAGTGACATAAGCTTACCTATCTTGAAACTCTCCAGCCAAGCTTCAACGATGAGGTCGATAGATCTCTTGTCCTTGTAGTGCATCACCCATAACGAGATTGTTTCGATAGCCTCTTGAGATAAACTATGAACCTAAATAGGCAACCTCAGCTCCAATGAAACCAAACCCGAAAGAAAAATAGCGCCAAAAGATAACTCACGTCTTGAAATCTCCGCATTATCGCATCCATTGTAAGTCCTGTCATGGTTTTTGGAAGAACAAATGGGAGTATTTGTGATCGCTACTCTTTCCAATCTGCCTACCGCATGTAAGTGAACAACACGGGAAAAACGAATAGCAATGCCTTCAGAAGATTACAAAGAGAAAGCTGAAAACATGGAAAACATAATAGGAAAAAAGACGGAAGTGGGAGAACTATCGACAACAGAAACTATCACAAGCAAAAAACTACGTCGGAGACACAAAACAGAAGTTCATGGATCTTCGAATAATAAAACATTAAGGAATAATCTAGCCCGTCGTCTACCAAGAAACGTTAAGAAAGAAAAACCAGAAGGCGGAGGAAAGAAAAAGAGTATGAATGGAGAAGAACTCGAGGTTATAATGTCATCCAGCTATTTAAATTTTCGTCCTTTACAGAAGACGCTTACGGTTTATGAGAGTACGGTGATATAACGTTGGAGAAAATTAGCATCCAGCGTTCTGTTCCTTTTGAAAAAGTTATGAATCCGATTGGAGCTCATTGTTTGCGTCGATTTCAGTCAAGTATTCACAGTCTTTCGAGTAAGACTGTTCTTCTTGCAAAGGTAGGACATTTGGACAGTTCAGTGCTCCGAACTGGTGGTCCGTCCTTCCATTACTTCAAGTGGACCATGTGAGACTAGTGTTAATTAATTTTAATATTAGTAGAAAAAGTGGGAGTAAAGATTATTTTCAAGAGCATTGTCAACTTTTCGTGGGATGCTGGGACACGTTTCCATTTGCTTTGCTTTATTGGTGAGCTTACAAGAAGCTGCTATTGATTTTTATTATTCCTAAGGTCTCCACTCCAGAGTACATTCTTCTGTTCTGTATTGCATAGGGGTTACTTCTTTTGATGTATGTATTTGTAGGGGCGCCTGTAGCGCAGCGGTCGGAAGCGCCCTGCAACACACCCAGGATCTATCCCCGCGCGCATGGCTCACCAAGCCTTCCATACCCGCGGGGACGGTAAATTGGTGCCGGACTTGTCTGAGACGCTAGCATCACTGGCTCGATACATCGGTAGGCCAGTGCGAGTCATTACTGTAAGAGCCAGATATGCATTCAATCGGCTCCATGTGATACTTAGTGAAGTTGAATGCATGGCACATCCCTCAGGGATTGATCAACGCTGAAAACTTTATGCTTTATTTTATCCTTTATATGTCTTCATAATCGCATCATGTCCAGTCGAGCGGAGTCGAATATGGCAAGTATATTCAAATCAAAATTCGAATAACGTCTTGCAAATATTCACACTTCACTTTGTTGCTTAGTTTCCACTTCGAATACAAGAAAATTGTCCGGGAACAGTTCATTCTCTGCAGTCCAAGTGGGGGAGCTCTAGCAATGCCATGCCAGGACTCCAGGAACTATCAACTCGACCAGCACTCAGCGCCATTCGTGAAGATGACGACAATTCTCAAGCAGCAGCCGAACCCACCCGCGAGAAGTTCGGCGTCCTTCGTGGACGATGGATGCGAGAAAACGAACCGAATGCAGGACGTGCTGGTATCCACAGAATAGATGTGAATGAATCGTGTAAAATAGATGAGAAGTAACGCACTTTGTTGAGGGAAACCTGGGGAACTTTCTAACATCTTTTGATAGTCTTTTGATAGCCAAAATATTTCCCTGCATGATTAAGCTGACACGAGGTTGGCGTAAAAGTTGCTACACTAACCTCCTGTGATCTCAGTTATGTTGGAAATTATTGATTATTGTTCCCAAGGTTTGATGAAGTCTATTTTTAAGATAAAATATTTGTTCGCCCCTGTTTTACGAAACATGCGTACATGTGTCCTTCGTTAGTGCTGGGTACTTCTCGATACTGCACCTATTTTGCATAGGCGTACTCCAGGTTCTCGTTGCAGGACCCCCGATTTGTGCGTGGTACTTTCTCTCGGCTATTTCTCGACTTTTTTCACTCTTCACCAATTTCTTCCGGGTAAGCAATTGCGTTTGCTAGTGTTCTACAACCATCGAGACTCTTTTTTACTACTCATATACCATATCTTTTTGACACTTTTGTTTTTATAGGACGCACGCAATGCCTCTGTCAGACATACCAGATGTCGATATTGACCCTTCCGGGACGTTCAAATATATCCTTATTCAAGCAAGTTTTCCACTTTCTCATCCAAAGGCTTTAATGTGGCGTAACAAATGGCTTACTCATAGTAATCAAGTTAGTGAAAGCAACAAGTAGGGCCGCACTTGCTAGTGATTTTGTTTGTCAAAGTGGGACATGAAAACCATAATCCGTTTGTAGACTGTTTGGCAAAAAGTAGCTCCTTCTAACTTGTTAGAATTCCCTGTAGCATAAAATTACTCTGAGCTGAAGTTTTGTGGAAAAGTCAAAGGGCTAATTTTCGGTGTCTTTGCTAAAAGAATGGACTCTTAGCTGTAGATCGCAGCACTTTCACCTCCTCCCTCCTAGTTATTTGACGCGGTAAACTATTCGAGCTTCGTACTATACTAAAAAATAAATTGTCGAACTCTCGGTGTTGATCAGTCCGTGAGGGACGCGCCATGCATTCGCCTTAATTAAGCATCGTTGGAGGCGATTTAATGCATATCCGGCCTTTATAATGACTCGCAGTCTTACCGATGTATCGAGCCAGTGCTGTTATCCTCCCAGACAAGTCTGATACCAATTTGCCGACCTTGGAAAAATGGAAGGCTTGGTGGGCCATGGGTGCTGGGATCAATTCCACGTGTGTGTCGCAGAGCGCCTCCAACCAGTGCGCTACACGCACCGCTTCGTGCTATAATTTTCAGAAATTTGTGCTGAACTGAATGTAAAGATATCTCATAGAAATGAGGTCACTTCTGCAGTTCCTGTTTTCAGTGCTCTGATAAATCGAATAATGATGAAAAGTACATTGTGCGAGGATACTACAAATGCAATTTCCACGCCGATATTCTGAAAGTTGCTCGCCATGAAGCAGGCTCATCATTTAAATTGAATTGTGTTGGTGGCGGAAGAATAAAGCACGAAAACGATGAAAGGCGGATCCTTGTATACGGATATTCCCAGGTAATCCATCTTTATTCAGTTGCCTATTGCTTCATTAGTCATATTTCTTGCTCAGAGTTAAAAGTTACTTGTATACTTAGATGACCAGTCCTCACTGGTTGTGAGGTTGTGAGGGCCCCAGCATAATTTCTGCTTTTCCGAACTTTTGTTAGTTTAGCCATTGTGATTCCTTAGAGTCCCGAGATTAGCGCCTAGCCAAAGTCTGCCCCAGGTGGTCACCACCACGGGTAGTCGCCGCCTATGTGGATCAAGGGAGGTAGATTTGCCACCATGTAACTAGTTTGTTACCAGGACGATGGTAGATCCTGGTATTGGTTTACTCAGCTAGGTTTTCTGATGGAAACGTCGGACTCCTTAGCATAGGAGGCCCTGCTGGTGGGACGAATCCCTCTGCTGTACATCGCATCCCGACACCCAAGAACAACTCCCAGCGACGATGAGGCGGTAACCGTTGGGAGGTAAAGCTAATAGAAACAATTCAGTAGAAAAACTGGCGCCTCTGACTCATTGTTATTCCCATTCGTGGAATTGTTCCCTGCAATATATTGCATTATTGTATTATATGTCCACGGATCTCCCTTATATGACGGATCTCGAGCCATTTAGTCGCGAGGCTACGTGGCACGTTCCCATGGGAGGCGGTTAGGAGTCACCTCCAACAAATAAGCTCCAGGTCCACTCTGGGAGACCCTGGCAAACCACCCGTGAGTATACCCAGCCCCCACGATCAGAGCAGCTATACATGGGTATCAAAAATGCTAAACACAGTAAAAAAAAAAAAAAACGGGCCTCATTCCTCTGACCCCGAAAGAGTCCCCAGTTCGGCAGCGTTGGGTAGGACGAGTACGGAGAGGCTGCTAAAATCTCAGGGCCAATGGAAGTTGCCTGGATTACAAAGAACTATGGTGACGATCTGTACCTACAATGCACCTACACTTGCATCCGAGTCCTCGATAGAAGACTTGCTCATGCAAGCAAGAAGGATAAAGTACGATATCATCGGCCTGGCTGAAACGAGAAGACGCCACCCATTCAACGCCATCTATGACACCGGAGAAGAATTGTTCCTCGGAACATGCTACATTAGAGGAGTAGGCGGCGTCGGCGTTTTCGTCAACACGAGTTTGTCCATAAAGATCGATTCATTCGAACAACCTACAACTTGAATCGGACGTTTACGATTAAGATGTGGATCAGTACCGGCTTTGATAATTTTCGTCCTCTACACGATGACATCAAACTATGACGAAGAAGAAATCGAAGCGTTCTGCATGGACTTGGAGAAGTTCCACAGAGGAGACCGTACATTCCTCAAGGGTTTTAATTGGAGATTCTAACGCCAAGATTGGACCAAGAAGAACGTCACATTGGGTGCCACGGGTTAGAATGGAACGAACAGGGTGAGCGGCTGTCTGAGTTTATCATGGCGACCAAGACATGCTAACTCGCTATTCCAGAAGCCCCATTCTCAATGCTGGATGTGGGAGTCTCCTATTGGAGAGTATCATAATGAAATAGACCACATCATAGTAAATAGAACGTTTTGCCTAACCGATGTCGCTGTTGTCCCAAAATGCAGCATTACATCCAGACCACTGTCTCCTTCGTGCAAGATTCTATTTCCCGCGGAAAGGAGAAAAGTCGCCAAATTCCAAAACCGGAGTCTCAGAACCACTGTGAACTGGGATTTATTCAATTCATTAGTCGGCTGTTGGGAAGATGCCGTTGTCGATAACATCAACGAAGAATACGATCGGTTCATTCAACATCTTCGCGCTAGCACTATGAAAGCTGAGAGTTCGAAAGTCACCAAGAGACGTCTGTCTCCAGAAATACTCGAGCTGATACGCCAGCGTGGAATCGCACAAGCTCCAGGCAGCCGCGAACTAACCCCCGAACTTGCAAAGCAATGCAGAGAGGCGATAAAAGAAGATCTTAGAGAGACAAAAGCAGTAGATATTATCGAAGCTGAAGAGGCTGGGAAAAGCATTCGCAAAGCCCACCGAAGCTTCGCCAATTATATGATCAAAATGATTGCTCTCCAGCGCCCAGACGGAACAGTTACAGCGTCCAGAAAGGCAATGGAGAAAATCATTCACGGATGCTACTCGGATCTCTTCGACAGCCACGTCCACCTTCCGTCATATGAAGTCAAGGAGGATGGATATGTTGTACCACCAGTTCTCCCTTCCGAAATCCGACATGCCATTCCGTCGGTGAAAAATCGAACAGCACCAGCTTCGGACAGGTTAAAACCAGAACACCTGAGGAACATTCCGCCAGTCCTCGTAAACACACTGGCTCGGCTGTTCACACGTTACCTGTCTGAATGCAAGGTTCCTACTCAGTGGAAGACCAGCAATACCGTGTTATTGTTCAAGAAGGGTGACCTGCAGGATATCGGCAACTATTGCCCAATCTGCTTACTTTGCGTCGTCTACAAACTTTTCACTCGAGTCATCCTAACCAGGATCGACAGAACACTAAATGAAGGACAGCCATGTGAGCAAGTAGGGTTTCGAAGAAGATTTAGTACGATGGACCACATCCACACTATAACAAGGCTCATTGAAGTATCGCGAGAGTACAAAAATCCACTCTGTCTCTCTTTCATCGATTTACAGAAGGCCTTTGATTCAGTTGAGATGGAAGCAGTCTGGAAAGCCCTTGATAGTCAAGGAGTCCCTACTCAGTACATAAAGATTCTTCATGAGCTGTACAAAAATTTCACAACCAAGATATCACCATTCTACAACGATATTAACATTGACGTCAAAAAAGGTGTTAGGCAAGGCGATACCATCTTGCCAAAATTATTTATCACCACCCTCCAGAATGTCATGCGAGCATTGGAATGGGATAATATGGGAGTGAAAATCGACGGTCGACAGTTACACCATCTTCGCTTTGCTGATGACATCATACTTATAATACCAAATATTAGCCAGGCGGAACGTATGCTTGACGACTTTGACAAAGCCTATGGATAGGTTGGTCTTCGACTAAATCTCGCAAAAACGATGTTTATGAAGAACGGACTGGTTTCGCATGCCCCATTCACGCTCAATGGAACGAATATCTCTGAATGTTCCAGTTATATCTATCTAGGTCGGGAAATCAATAGCGGCTTGTGTAGCTTTCAAGAGCATCTAGGATGCAGTGAAGAGAACAAAGAACACCGGACTCCGTGTCCACCTTTTCGACTCAACGGTACTTCCTACCCTAACGTATGCGTCAGAAACCTGGTCGCTGGGTAAGCAGGATGAAGGGTCACTCAGCGTTATCTTATGCGCAGTCGAAAGGACGATGCTAGGAGTGTCCTGTTCCACACAAGTAAGGGATAGGACCCGAAGCTCCGATCAAAACTCAAAGATGCCATTTTGTACGCCAAACAGTCGAAGATAAGGTGGCCCGGACACGTAATGCGTATGAATGACAACCGATGGACAAGAGCGGTTAGTGACTGGTTTCCTCGGGTTGTCAAACGTACTGCAGGAAGACCACCGACCCGATGGTCAGAGTTCTTCACAAAGGGCCTTGAGGAAAGATATGATGCTCGACGAGTCCCTAGAGCGAGCAGAACCCACTGGGCTATTCACGCACGCTACAGGGAAGAGGAAGATTTACTGACGCCCGCTCGAGTCACTCGACGATCAACGGGTCTACAGGTGATACAGGTGATTATATTATAAAAATATTGCATTGTTGTTATTATTGCAAATAATGGAGAATATTCATAGTCGAGAACTTATAAAAGAGTTGCTACCACGTCTGCTACTGCCTTATTCTCGGTAGCGGCCCGCGTGAAAACAATTCCAGTCTTTCCTATTACCTGCTGTTCATTGAAATGTATGCATAGCTACCAAATCACCTTAAAGTTGATCACGCTCTCCTATTCCACTCGTATGTTTGTGTTTCGGCTTCCTTTATATTTATTTTAACAATTTCAAAGCTTTTTTAAAAATTTCTTTATACCCTTTGCGTTACTCTGCGTATTTTTCCACATCCTTGGAAGATTCCCTTCTCGTGGTTGAAATAAAAGCCTTGTTATGCCATGAGACTCCTTGGTCAGTCGCGCAACATATATTATTGAATATATATGCATATATGTGTATGTATATATGCGTATGCAGATATATCTGTATTTCTTTTTTTAAATTTTGTTATTTGTTATCGTTCTATACGATAACCTTAACTAGTCGTATTGATTGGATTGAGAAGTTTGATGACTTGCTACAAATCACCAATTACCTTTTAAGAATCGAATCTTATCGATCTCAATCACATCAGTAGAAGACGTATTGAACTTAGCTCTTAATCGACTGCTCGTTGGTATTGATGAAGGAAAATGTAATAGCAATAAGAAATCATTGTGAAATATAACTTCAACGATGCTGTGATATTTGCAAAACTCCGGACCGCAGTTGTATGCGGTGGGGAACTAACGTGCGCTATTGTCCTTTCCGGGTAGTAGCGCACTTCACCACCACACCATCCGGGTCCTTCGTTTTGCCTATCTGTATGCGATCTATATGGTGGATCAATCTACCTATTGAATTTTTTTCTAGTGTGTACGGTTCCAGCAAACTGTAAATGTCATGATGAGTTCCTCTTGTTGAATAGATTCCTAGTATACATTCCATGTAAGGAGAGAAGTATCAGACCAAATCATTCAAAGTATGCAGTAAAGGCGGTTACATAGGCAAACATGTTTTGCTGTCAGAGCAGGCTATTGGATTGGCAATGTTAATCGATGGCAATTAGCTCGTACACGATACGATGGATGAACGAGGATGTCTGGACAACGATAATTGAGACGCGAATGTCCCTACAGTTGAAGAATCAGTAAAATTAAATTGGCATAATGGTGTGCATATTGAAAGGTTGAAGGAGCATCACTGTAGTTCGATGTTTTTCTTCAATAAGCAGACACGAGGTTGTCATTATAGAATTTATTAGGATACAATAGCTGACGTTTCGGCGGTTTCGCCTTCTTCAGAGCCTGGAAAGGCCAAGTTGTGATGCGATCTACTCAGCCAAACACTTTTATAACCTTAGCAGAGAAAACTTGACAAATAAATTTA